GCGACCTGAAACCGGCCTTCGCCCACGATCATGACCGTCTTCACCTTCGGGTGCGTGGCGATGGTCTGCTCCATGGACGTCGGATTGACCTTTTCGCCGTTATCCAGCACGATGATGTCGTCGGCGCGACCGCGGTGAAGCCAATGATCGGATTTCGCAGGGTCAGGATGCCTGCTGAAGAGATCGTTCATCCCGAGCTCGTTTAGCTGCGGTGACACAGCAAAGGCCGGTTGAAAGCGTTCACATCCCTCCCGGCGAGTAATGACTGCTTCGTACAGGTCTTCTGTGCGGTGGCGCATCTCCATGCCGGCTCTAGTGAAAAATCGCACGTACATATAGTCGTCATCTCCCACGAAGAGATGCGGCAGCATCCCTGATTCTGTCTGCCCAATGAAGTTCAGAATGCGGGTATGCGGCTTGACCTTGTCGCCGACCGTTTGAGACAGAGGAGCTCCTGAAACCATGATGAACTGCAGCTTGGAGAGATTGCGTGTGAATGAAGTGTCTTTGCTGATATCGTCTAGAATAGACGGAGGCAGGAAACTCGAGGTTACCTCTCCGCTGCGATGGTAGGTGTCTGCAAGTTCAGCTGTAAGTGGTTTCGGGGTGAGAACAACGGGGATCTGTCTAAGGAAGAGACTGAATGTGTAGAACAGGTATATACCAGCTCCCTGATTGCAAACATCAGTTCCGATGAGGTTGTTGTTTAGACGGTACACAGAGTAATCTTACATGGAAGAAGGGAAAGGGATGGAAGATTCTGCCTGGTCTTTCTCGCATGTACGAGAGCAACGTCTTTACTCCGTTCTCATAGTCGTCTTCAACATACGCGGCACAGCTTATAAAGTATCTGTACGGAAGAGTGATTGGCTTGGGAATTCCTGCAAAGACAAACGTATCAGCTCACTGCTTTACCATTCTGATCATTTACAGATGCAAAGGAGGGTCATACCTGTCGATCCTGAGGTATGGATAACCATGTACGGTTCATTGCAGGAATCCTCAAACCGTTTGGTGAATGGATAAGGCTGATGCCCTTCAGAGACATCAACATGTAACCAGCTCTCGAGCTCAGGGACAACGACATGCCGCAACTGCAAGCCTGGACCGGCAATTTGAAGCACCTCAGCAACGCCAGCCGGTAATGTTGCTGGCGTTAGTAGTAGAGTGCATTTTTTTGCCTTCAGGAGACTCGTTTGTCCCTCAAGACTGTTGCGTGGCGAGATAAAGAATGACTTGTATCCTGCTTTGGGGGCCGCCACAGAGAGAATTGCATATCTCAAGTCATGGGGACCAATATAGGCCAGTGTCTCGAACGATTCACTACGTCCGATCGTGTTTTCAAGAAACCAAGCTGCATGATCAATCGCTTTGGAGAGTTGCAACACGGTAATTTCGTTGACTCCGGACATGATATCCTCATTTTGGGGGATGGCACATATGATTCGGTTGGGTTCTTGTTGTGCGAGATCATCAATGATCTGAGGGAGGAGGCGATCAGGGGCCATGTTAGGTATTGCCTTACACAGAGTGACAACCTCATAGACACTCACAGCGAAGATGAACAAGTGTTGAGCATCCTTATGCGCGGACAAATACAGGATGAACGGTCTTTGTTTCTGTTATACTAGTAACCAGGTACACACGATGGTGTATCTCGTGTATATCCGGCAATACGTCCAAACAGCAACATTATTTGCAATAATTCAAGCTTCGTGCCGTAATAGCCAGCCTAACCCCGTGCTGAGAGGATGCTCTGAGGGTATGCTATACCTGTGTCCGGCTCCGCGTGAGAGCGAGAGAGCGACCCGTCTAGATCGGCATTCAGATACCGAGAGCACTCGGGCAATTGCACAAACGCCGTGTCCGAGGCCACTGAAGCTCAGAATGGGTTGTCCCATTGAGGAGAGAGTCATTCCTGGCTTTCCTCTTGTGTGCTGAAAGGGGAGGGTACTCCTGAGCTCACTCTATATAACACGGCGATAATGGTATACCATCGTTTACACGGATTTACACTTCTCATGAAGTGGAATTTGAAAGATTCAACTATGTATAAATGTACTCTGTTTCCCGACCAACCCTCCCCGTGTTCACTGTTCTGCAGGGACAGTTCTAAGTCCGATCTCAAGCATCCCAGGCGCGAACCGAGATTGGATATGGAAGTATAGAATGTCGCTTGAGTGTCCCGTCTGGAGATCATACACCTTTCGATTCATGGCCACCTGCATGCGCAACACTCCCCACACCTGACAGAATTGAATGTAGTCTTGACGGATCTGGCGCCCGCCTTGGGAATAGTAGCGGTCCAAGAAGATCGACCAGTCCACCGAGGCAGGAAGATGTGCCCGTAGATAAGCCAGATCGTCCTCTGGCGCTCCCAGGTCGGCCGTCTCCCAGTCGACAACGCCCGTGATTTGATTCTGGTCGTCGACAAGGATGTTTCGAAGGTCAAAGTCGCCGTGGGTCATGACGGCCATGTCTGAACATGCTGGGACATGGTTCTCCAGCCAGTGGAAGAGCCAAGTGATTGACAGCGACGGTAAATGCTCGTGCATCTCTAGATGGCGTCGCAATTCTCGAAGCCTCCGCTTGTAACAAGATTCCACTGATTCATGTGATATATCGCCGGCGCCGCGGGATTTGTAGAATCCAGCAAACTTTTCTAGAGTGATGTTGTGTAGCCTGGCCAAAACATCTGCCATGTTTCGGAGCAGCTCAGGGGGGATCACTTGGTCGTCGCCCATGAATAGGGTTCCAGGAGGTCGTCCGCGTAACCTTTTCATGGTGTAGAAGGTGTCGTCGACAAAGTCCAACTTGAAGGCGATCTCCTTGGGAATGGGCGACGGAAATCCCTGCGACTCTAATATCTGCAGGAGTTTGAACTCTTCGTCAAGGTCGAGAAAAGGTGCTATCACGGTTGGAATACTTTTGCGGATGACCAACTCTTCATCCTCAGCGCCGTCCATCGCGATGGTGCAGAAATATGTCTGGTTCGAATACCCACCGGCAACGGCAGAGAACTGAGTCACTCGCAAAGGTCGTCCACGTTGGCTGACGAGCCAGTCTTCCAGCAGCTCTCGAGTCAATGTCTTTCTCACTGTAGGCACTTTGGACTTTGAAATTCCATTCACCATGCCATTGGAAGGAGGAGGATGAGAGTCCAAATTTCGTAGCTTGTCCAAATATTCAAATTCCCACTCTGCGGCTTTTCGAAGTAATGCGCCAGCTCGCACATCGTCCGCTTTCCTCTCGGAGAGGCGGGCGCACATCAAGTCCAACTCTTTGATCAGAATTCCATGGGTCTGGGAGAGCGAATCAAAGTCTCTGACTTCTGTTTCATCGGTTGTTGAAACTGGTGGTGAGCACACATCGGGAAAGGTATGGCAAAGTTCGTCGACTAGATGCTTGCCATCGTTGATCACGGTCTTCAGAACATGTATACCTCCAGAGGTTCGCTTCAAGACATCCTCAAGAACCACTCGAATGAGACTGGCTGACTCTTTGCTTGTGGTCGACTCAAGCTCAGGCAGAACGTAGGTGTTCAACGCAGCCAACGCTGCGTGAATGTGCCGTTCATTGGAAGTGACCTTCATGTTTGTAGTCTCTAGTTTGATTCAAATCAGTAGATTTCCTCTCTCTCAGAAGATAGCTCTAAGTTAATCCAAGTCAATGGAAGATTTCTCCATCCATTGTCACCACTGGTCGCGTGACAGGCCCAGCGCCGCCAGAAACTATCGAGGCAGGGAGGGGTTCAAGGTGTCTTGATTCCTGAATAGCGTTAGTCTCTGATTTCGGATGCATGAATGGATTGCTCTCACCGATGCAAATTGAAGATCTGGGCTGACTGCAGAGACCCAAAGACCCGGAGACTCCAGAAGTGAGAGAAACAACCATGAGTCAGGAGTAGCCCTTCTGTTGGTTTCAATCGCCCAATCAGAAGAATCATACGCATACCTCCTCACGGCGACTAGGAGCCCGGGCTGGGGAGAGCACGGGAGCACGGTCGGCGAGTACATTGAAACCTGGCGCCGGCAGCAAGGGATGTCTTCCCTCTCGCCGTAACTGAGCTGCAGAGGCCAAGATCTGTCTCTCTTTTTCTCGGCAGAGGAAGGCGAGGTTGAATGTTCCATGTTCCGGGCCGGATTTGTAGGTAGACAACCTTAATTGTCGATCTAGCTACTTCTGGCCATTTGGCACCTGGCACTCTCCACCAGAGTGGAGACAAACTTCTACATACAGCGTGCATGGTATGCATGAGTGTGCAGGTGTGACGAGCATAGAACCTCTGCATCCAGGTTTGACATCATATCACAACGCAGAAAACGAAACCATCTCCTAAAGACAACAGCATCATACATAGTCATCACTCCACCGAGATTGATCATTGCAGCAATACAGTATACCTTCACCCGCCATGGGCAGGACGCTGATCCACGAGGAGCAAAAAACCCTCCCCTTCCCAGTGGACCAAGTATGGGCAATCCTAAGCGGCTTCGGGGCGATCAAGACCTGGATCCCTACCATCGACGCCTGCATCACCAACGGCAGCCAAGTTGGCGCAGTGAGAACAGTCTATTACAGCGGCACCTCGATCCAAGAGAAACTCCGAATCCTCGACTGGGAAAACCACACAATCTCCTACGAAATGCTCGAGCCTACAGGTCTGCCGATGAAGGGGGGTCATGGCACTGTGTCTCTGGCTGCTGCGGGGGTCGGTGCCAACGAAACCAGGGTAACGTGGACTTCGGATGCTGAGGAGGTGGATGATCAAGGAAAGCAGGTTATCGCGTCCATCTTTGGGCCTTTTATTCGAGGCTGTATTCGGGGCTTGGAGGAGGCGCTTTCGAGGCCGACTGTGCCTATGGTAGACCCAGACCCAGACCCGTCATAGTCTCTTATCTACCTAGTAATCTCTAACGGAATTCCAAACTATTCTATCTAGAGGTGAATGGAGATATGTTCTTCTGGGCACTGTCCTTGGATTCCCATTCCAAAGTAGATCAAAGCCGGGATAGCAGCATTGCGTCTTCCTCTTGTGCCGCCCTTTCAATGTCGTAGTACTTCTGATATAAAGGTAGGCTCTCCGGATTAGCGACAACCGTTGACTCGGCTTTATGTCCGCTGATGATCTTCTTGACGAGGATCTCAAGCTTCTTGCCCACGTTCGAGTATGGAATATCATCCACATAGAAGACATACTTTGGAACATGCCTCTTGCTGAGACTTTGCCCAATCTTGGCCTTGATCTGTGTCCGAAGCGCCGCAGTTCTTTCCACCCCGGGTTTCAGTTTCAGGAAAAGAATGACTACCTCGTCACGGTCGGTCGATCGTCGCTGACCAGTACACACAGAGTCCTCGACCTCAGGAAACAATCGTACAACGTTGTAAATCTCCGAAGATCCAAAGCGGACCCCGGAAGGATTTAGTACCCCGTCGCTGTGTCGGTACATGTCAGATGTCAGCTTGTACAATAAAACCTTATGAGCGTTAGTCATTGAGCCAGGGGGCGGCACTCACGACCGTCCCAACATTTGTATACCTCGTGTACGGGGATTGATCCGAATCAAATCTCCTTGCACCCAGGTATCCGGGCCGAACATCGAGAAATAGGCATCCTTGTATTTCTCAAGACCATCAGGACCCCAAAAGGTCAATGGCTGGCTGGGAAATGGAGCCCTGCACACCAGCTCGCCGGATTCATCGGTACCCTCGAGTGATTGGCCACGAACTGATGTAGGATCGAAGATATCGACTGCCATGCCCAAAGCCTTGTCTGAGATCTCATTGGCGCGAACCGGAGTCAAAGCATTGCCGCCAACGACTAGAACAGAACCAGGATTGAGTACCCGTACGTACACGGTTGGGGGATGAATGAATTGACTGACAAGAACAGGAACAATCCGTTCCTCCGCTGCCAGAGATCAACTGAACTTTGGGCGGGAAGCCATGATTGTAGAACCACTTGGCGACATCTGAAGGAAGAACCGAGCCTGTCGATGTTACTTTTCTCAACGCAGAGAGATCAAGCACGTCTCCTAGTAACTTATAAGTTTTTAAGCCACACGAGTATTGGGTCAGTGTCACTTTAACTTACTCGGCCGGACGTTGCTGTCCATCAGGTCGGTTAAGTACTTTGCCGATGTTCCAAAAATACTGACCCTGTGCAGTCGTCAGTCGTCGACAATGACCCAGATGACAGCCTTCCCATCAATGTAGAGGGCTTGAGGGTTCATACTTTATCTTGGAGATGATCTTCAAGAGAAAAGGAGGGTCTGGGTAGACTGGAGAGCCTTCATGGACAACTATTGTTGTTCCGATACTCATGGCAGTCAAGAGAAAAGCCCACATGATCCATGCAGTCTATTGACATTACCATTAGAAGGTAGACAAAGCGGTAATCGGTAAAGATGGATCTGCCCTTACGGTGGTGTACTGGAAAAGGATATCTTTGGGCAAGACACCGATATGGAGGACATAATCCTTCTTGACCTGCAAAAGCACTCCCTGTGGATAGTCAGTAATGAGCATTTTCATTCCACTCAAGGGTTCACGGCGAGTCAGTACGTAGACTTACCCCTGCACTGTGGAGAATGCATTTCGGAACGCCAGTCTATAAGAGTTAAACATGAGTCATGAATGGTCCCAACACTTGATTGAAGCCTTACTCACTGTTCCTGAGGAATAGAATATGAAAGCTGGCGCCGAGAACGGCATCTGCTCGAATTCCATCTTCCCTCCCTCCCCCTTTGTATAGAAATCACGCAGATCTAGAGTCTTTGGAATCTGGGTCGTAAGATCCGGGCTGCTGGTGCTGGTGCTACCACCTCTGCCGCAGAGGACGATCCTGTCGAGCGAAAGGCCTCGGGCAGCAACTGGCGCCCATTCCAGAATCGTCCCGCTGAGGTCCCGGCGCTTTCCATTGTACAACACCGTGGTGTCGGTGAAGATCAATTTGGGGTCGATCTGAACGATACGGTCGAGAATTCCCTTTGAGCCAAAGTCCGGCGATATCGATGACCATATCGCCCCAATTGACAGCGTGGCCAGACACAGAGCAATCGCCAATCTCGACGCCGAAATGACTGCGGCAACTCGATCGCCGCGTTTCACGCCGCCCCTGCGCATTGCAGTCGACAGCGTTTCTACCTGCGTGAAAAGCTCCCCCCAAGTGACGGATCGATGGTCAAGGCTGCCTTCTGTCGTCTCGATGATGGCGATTGCAGATGGATCGCGGTGACAGTGTTTGAAAATGCTGCCGGCAAAGTTCAACTGTGCGTCCGGGAAGAATATCGGACTTGGGAACATGCTGGGAGTGCCAGTATCCTATCACCAGAACGTGAGCAAGACTACTCAGGTAGTAACGATAGCCTGTGACTAACACTGATATTGGAAAATACTCTTGAGGGCAGCTTAGTTGCCCCGATATCCAAGAATTCAAACACGGACATCCAGAAATCCTGGGATGTGCTTGCGTTGACGGACCAATTATGGATGTCCTTGTAGCTTTGCAGAGAGAGGTTATACCGTTGATTTACCAGGTCACGAAACTTTGCAAGAGAGGAGTCTGTTAGGTCGCTCTTCGAAGGCACCCATATGACTGGATTGGCATCACCATCACCAGCGTCGTCCATGGTGTTGGTGTTGGTGTTGGTCAATAGCAGGCTGGAGGTTGCAATTGGAGCTTTTGGAATTGGCTGATTTGTATTTGCGTGTGTTTCAAGCACCTCTGTTATCAGTTGGTCCTTAAACGAAGCTTCAGCACTTCTGAATAAAATGTCGAGAGAGCACGCGAGCGAACGATTTTGCCAAGAACAGCAAAGCAAATAGCAAAGCAAGCTATGGCTAGAATGGCACTCACCCAGAGTACCTACAGAGGACCAGGTATTGCAGGTATTGCTTCGGGGAAATGTCATACCTGGTCCGATCATCGAAGTTGCGGTCGTCAAAGCATTGGAGCCCTCAAGCTCCACTAACAGATCAGCCGTTCCGGCCTCCGGTTTCCGGTCGAGAAAGGTAAAGCTCGGCCCGTTTGACCAATCGGGAGTGTTTGTCTGATAGTTTCCACCAATGATATCGCCCCGCTTAGTCACTAACTGCTCAATGATTCTCCAGTCCTATTACTCCTATCATCACTCCCCAATACCTGATATCTCTTGGTGACCTATCAAACAAGACGAGGCGGAGACTCTCGAGAGAGACGGAGCGTGTACGGTGTCACTTCCAAACAGCCCCTTTCTCCGTCAACATATACCCCATCCTCTGGCTCAACCAATCCGGTCTAGCTACAGCGAGTTCCTTTTCCAGGTCAAAAACCTCACCCCCTTGAACGAAGAGACCTTTCCCGGCCGCAGCGGCTCCCTGGTTGATCAGATAACATATCGCGTCTGCAACGACGTCGGGCTTCTGAGACGGAATCCCCATGTCCTGCATTTGTTTCCAGAGCACCTCGAGATCGTCATTAGTATCTGCCTTCACATCAACGCCAGGGAGGGATGCGAGTAAAGACGTTTCAGTCATCCCGGGAGCAACAAGGGCCATGGTAACTCCGAGTTTGGACGCTGATGGCGACAATGCGCGCAGGAGACCGACCATAGCTTTTAGGAATATGATTAGTATCACTTCCTCGCGTTGCGTGCTCCGAGTCCTGAGTGGGAAGTTGAACTCACCGTGTTTTGAAGCCGTGTAGATGGGCATCCCCTCTGTAGCAAAGTATCCCGCGAGACTCGCGGTAAGGACGATGCTTCCCCCATCGGCATTGCGTCGCAAATAATGGATCCCGAGAACGATGGTGTTCACCGTGCCCTTGACATTGACATCGATTGTTTTATAATTAGGTTCTCGTGGTTGTGGTAGTGGTGGTGGTGGTGGCTGGGAAGAAGTAGAAGTAGAAGTAAAAGTAGAGGTTCCAGGGTCGTCCGTTGAAAAAAAGACATCTCCCACATCATTGACGCCGGCATTCACGAGAACAATGTCGATTCTTCCAAACGTCGAGAACGCCTTCTCAAACAGCGAACAAACGGAGCTCCATTGAGTCACGTCACAGTACTCGTAACGTGGGACGTGGAGATTCTCGCTTATGCCCTGAAACTGCGACATCGACTTCGACATCCATGCTGAATCGGCAGCGGAGGGTGGATGGATATCGCCCATCATGACATTCCCTCCGAGTTCATGGATGAGGCGGGCTGTGCAGAGACCAATCCCGGAGCATCCGCCTGTTATGATGGCCGTTTGACCCGCAAATCCCTCGTGAGGGAGGCGACTTCTTGCCACGTCGATGCTGGTCATGATTGAATAGTTGGGGTGTTATGGGTACATTTACAGTGGTGGCTAAAGCTCAATGCGAGGTGTGAGATTGAAATAATAAATATATGAACATTGAAGACTAAGTTTAGCTGAGGGCTCTGTTGGCTTGATATATTATATATAATACCGATCTGCAAGCTTGTAGCTTGCATGCAGCATACCAGACTTTAATTGGATAAGCGGAACAGTATTGAAACTCACATGCCAGGTAAAAAGACCCGAGCATGCAGTATCCTGGTTCCGGAACAATGAACATTGTACAGTCAAGGCGGTATAAACTTATCTACTGAGAAGCTGTACCAGAGAGTCTCATTTTCGGAACAGTGCTACACCTACGCACCTCCTCTGGCATATAACAGTGAATATCGTGCCCCAAACATGTACACAGCAGTCGGGCACAGCGATTGCAAACTTGATATCTACACGAGACCTCCCATCTGGCTGATACATTCTTTCGTGCATTCACTCAGTTTGACCTATTGAACCCCGTCTCGGCAGCTTCAAGCAGACTCCCATGAAGTCTCTTCCAACTTCTTCTCTTCCGACTTCTTGTGAAGCTCCTTGGCCACCAAATGCGCCGTCTCGGGATTAAGATCTGGACAAAACCAAGACCCAATAGTTCCCAGCGCACAAAACGCGATACTAGTTAGAAAGCACGTCCGATACGCTTGAGCATTCGCCGTCTGATAAGCGTCCAGCCCGATAGCAAGGATCCGCTCAGTCAAGCCCGGAACACTCGAGGCAGGCAACAGGCCTTGAAGCACTTGAAGCAGAGCCGGTACCTCAGTCACCGGAAGCCCAGCTTGCACCACGGCCGCTGGAACCAGCGCCGGGATGGTGGTTTTCAAGCGGTTTGCAAGAATGGTGGAATAGATGGTTGAGGCGAGCGCGCCGCCTAACGAGCGGAAAGACGCAGCGAAGCCCACTGCAAGGCCGATGTCGTCCTGTTTGTCAATGGCAATGCTCGACTGCGTCAGGGATACTGCCTCCACAATGCCGAGGAAAAAGCAGCCGATGACGAGCATCGACGCGGTGACGGCTTCGTTGTGCTGTGTGGCTACAGCGACTGCGCCTGTGAATGCGGTGCCAATCACCATGCACACGACCATGAAGTACCTCAAGTGTCGAATATACGAGGCGACTGCTAGGCCGACGAAGTCGCCGAAGGTGATCATACCGCTGGCAGCGCAGAATTTCCATCCAAGGAGGGAAGGAGACGCTGGGTAGAGTGTTTCCACCATTGTTGGCCAAATGATACTTGTGGTAGGGTCAGTCTCGGTCTTAGCAGTCCATAAAATCGGTACTGGAAGAGTCCGGATCTCACCTGAAACCATAGTAAGCCATGGCAACCACTGTCACTGTGATGCACACGGCAATGTATTGGCGCCGGCGGAAGAGTCGCAACGGCACATAAGGCTCTCTGGGAGAAGCAAACCACTCATACACAAAAAAGGCGATCATGCACGCGGCACCGATGACAAGTGCACATAACACATGAGCACCGTCCCAGGCTGTAATCAGAAGAGGGTTAGTTAATCAGAGACTCGTACAAACGAAGAGCGGTCGCAGAGAGTCGAGACTGAAACTCACCATAGAGAGAACCTCCCCAATTCAAGCCCAACATGAGCAGAGTAACGCCTGCTGTGAAGAGGATGAACCCAATGTAATCGAAATGGGCGATCAATTGCCTCTTGGACGTACGGCCATGATGCAGCATTTTGAACGTGGGCGGGTAGTAGAACAGATACCAGCAAGACGTGGCCAGACCATTGATGATAATAAAGACGTAGAAGATCCATCTCCAGCTCATGTCGGGGTTATTGGCAATGGCCGTGCCGGTTTTTGCACCAAAGGCATTGAAAGGGGCTCCGATAAAGTACAAGCCGGCGTTTGCGACGAAGCGATACTTGATAGGCACGAGTTCGCCGATGACAAAAGCAAAGGATCCTTGGGTGGCGGCAGCTGGAATAGCCCGTCAGTGAGCGTGTTTTCCCTTTCTTTCTCTTCTTGTTCTTTCTTCTGGATTCGCTGAGCCCAAGGCTCAAGTTTCTTACTTACCTGCTCCGACGAGTGTCATGCCGCCAATAAGTGTCGGGATGTTCTGTGCCCTGGCGCAAACAATGCAGCCAACCAGACCCAAAGCTGAACCAGAGATGAAAAACCAGCGTCGGCCGAAGAGATCAGTCACTCGGCCCACCAGGGTGCCTATATACCTTTTGTCAGAATTACCGGCGCTGGGGAATTCCGAATCATAAATAATAGATGAATAGGGAGATAAATGTACTCACTCACTACACCCAACATGAGGATGTATATAATAGCAGCCCAAGTTATCGAAGTCCCCGGGCCGCCAATGTCCACATAGACCTTTCCCAGATTCGGGGCGATGAGAGTGAAAGCACCAACACCGGCCATCAACCCGAACGCACTCGCCTATACATTGTAATTGTAATTGTCAGTGTCGTGTTACATTGGATTGGGTCGGGGCCAAAAGAGAGTGAACACCACGTCAACGGTAAAACAACGTGACAAAGGTAAAGGTAAAGAAAGTATTGCTAGCAACTCACAGCATAAGACCCCACAAAGAGAGGACTGTAGTAGTATCCCTTTGGAAGTTGACTCTCGTCGATCGGCGACACGCCAATGCCATCAATGGCATATTCAACGTGCGTTCGCCCGACGGCATTCCTGTCCCTGTCCTTATCCTGTTCCCGCGGTTGATCCACCACCTGGACTGGGACTTCCAGCTCCGAGTGTAGTGAAGCGGTCATCTTGGGCTTATAGTCGAAATACGAAGAGAAGGGGTAGCTGTCTGAATTCAGAAACTGGACGGTCAGGGGACGTGAAGTCGGGACGTGAAAAGGGTTATATGTAGTTATATGCCACCTACCTGCCGGGATTGACCCCGTGGGGAATTGACGCTAGGAGCATACAAGGTCAACTGCTTGCCTGGCTGGAGCAATGCTGGTTAGATTGTCGCTTCTAAATTGCAGGGTCTAGGGTCGTGCAATAGTGTTGCGGTTGCTGTAGCTGTAGCTGGTACGGAGTAGGAGTATGGTGTACCTCACAAGGTTCCGGAGTCACAACTCGTCAGTGATCCTTATCTTTGTTCCTTAGGTCTTGCGAGTGAGAAAGGAGAAAACTATGTAGGTACTTTCACATCTGCTGGCATTTGGCTTCGGCCGGCTAAACGAGTGGACCGGTTCGCCGACTGGCAAACAATGACTGGCCGAGCATCGAACAGTGGACGAATCATATGAAAGTGGAGACCACTACTAGCCACCCACCAATCGGCATTCTTGTTCGAATACTCTCACCGGCCGCCACCTTTGCATGCATAGTACGTAGCGTTTACCTGGGTACCTACCTAGGTAGGATCAGAGTCTGAGTTTTCAGAAGGATACAGGGTCGTCACAACAGTCACGACGTCTGTACATGTTATGATGGAAAACATTCGGTTCTAAATCTAAACTCTCTTCTACTGTGGTGAATCGGCGGGATTTACCTAGAGCATTTTTGGTCTGAAATGCTTGGAGCTTCACGGTCTGCATGTTCAACCCGTAAACGTAGCTTCCAAACGTACTCCCTCCTCCATGCGCCGCCACAAGTCCTGCATTTTCTCATCTCGCATTCGTTGAAGTGGAAGACGTGGCCCTCCGCCGTATCCATGAACCCTTTCCAAAATGTACTTTGTCCCCGCAATTCCGGCACTTGTGTGTGGCCAATCACTAGCCGAGAGAATGCTCTGAAGCTCCATGGCCTTTTCAAACTCCTTCGCCCTAAAATTCTCACACAAGCGTACGGATGCTCGCGGCAAGATATTGGCTCCGCCAGCAATAAACCCAGACCCGCCGGCAACCAGTGCCATCAGACCAAAGTCCAGAAGCCCGCCGTAGCACACGTAGCCAGACCCAGAACCAGGGTCGGTGGTGTTGGGAGTCATCGCGTCCATGGCTCGCGCTACCCGGGCCAACTTGCCCGTATCGCCACAGGTGAACTTTGCCCCGACGACATTCGGATGGCGCGAGACCGAGATGATCAGATCCGAGTCCATCTCAATACCGGCCGACACAGCGGGAAAACTGTAGACGAGCAACGGGAGCGGCGTTTCGTCCGCCACGCGCGTGTAGAAGTCGGTGATGGTTTCCCGACTCATGGCGCCGCGGAAGTAACTGGGCGGAAGGACGAGGACGAAGTCGCCGCCAGCGCGGAGGGCGTCGCGACATAGTGCGACTGTTCCTTTGACTGACGCGTCGGATGCGCCCACTATGATTGGAATGTGAGCCAACCCTGCGTCTTGTAGGGTCTGGCGCACTGTCGAAGTCACGGTGACGCGTTCGTCGCGGCTGAGGTGTGGTGCTTCTCCGTTCGATCCTAGAACTACCAGGCCTGCAATGCCTGCTTCCGCGAGCATCTTTACGTGGGTTCGGAGACTGGGTAGGTCGAGGTCCTCGGTTTGGGGGTGGAAGAAAGTCGGGATTGCTGCTAGAGCACCGACGGGCAGTGCTCTGTGGGTGCGGGTGTGATTTTCCATATTGACTATGTTAGAGTTCATGATTGGTTAATGATACTTTTTAATACTAAGGTACTGAAGAAGCGATCGTAGCATGTCTTTAAGCATCATGACCTCTTGACTATTACCGGATATGATCGGCCATGATCCATCTAAGCCGGCCCCCGAAGGTCCAAGGCGGACTATCGACGACGAACTATGAACTATTCGCTCCAGTATCTACTATCTACTTTCCCCTGACTAGTCACTACGGCGGCGCCAGCAATCATTGCGAAGTATATCCACTAAGTAGTAAGTTTGTAAGTGTCTGTCCCTCTTTTTCAGGTGTGACAGTTTATATACAGATGGAACCTGCACTTACCCGTCAACAACCAGACTCGCACCACTCATGAAACTGCTCATCGGAGACGCCAAAAAACAAATTGCATCTGCTATCTCTTCAGGCTCGGCAAAGCGGCGCATCGGCACCTTTGCCATTTCGGCACGCATGATTTCTGAATCGGATACAGTCGCCCGCATGTGGTCTGTGTTTACGTAGCTTTATGTACAGTTGCGGTCATCAGTTAGCGAGCCGTGAGCGTAGCAGGCATGTGGGAAGGGAATGGTCTGTTGTCCATAGAAACAAAGACAGAAATTCTTAGGACTTACCCAGGACAGATGGCATTGATTCGAATGCCGTCTTTTGAATATGTATTTGCATCCTACATATATCATACGGCTGTTAGTAATAGTTGCGTCGGATACCCATATACACATATACACAGTAGGTGTTAACTCACATTTTTAGTGATCGCTATAATACCATGTTTGCTATGTTACAAAAGTATTAACAGATTGTCAAAATTTTTGATCAGCGTAGAAGAGTAGGGGAACCCACCTCGTGCAATAAGGCGCTGCTGGTGTGGACTGAGATGGCGCGGTGAGGCCAAAGGTCGACGACATGTTTACAATGATGCCTCGACTCCATACACCAGTTCTGTCCAGATTCCAATCTTAGCATTCGTCCTGTCACACACCTGCTGTGTGCCGTTCAACGGGACTTCGAGGAATGGCGACTTGTCACCTACCGGACTTCCACCACGTCTTGTCGGAGTAGTTGTTTGATCTCTTCTCGTTGACACATCCACAAGCCAATCATATTGGTGTCGATGACTCTGCGGAAGTCTTCAGAAGAAATGTCAACCGATGGTGCAATCGGGCCACCGAAGCCAGCGTTGTTGACGGCGATATCAATCCGGCCAAAGCGAATGACGACTTGTTGTATTCCTTGGATCACTGATTGCTCGATCGAGACATCCATCGTTACTAGGAGAACCTCCACATCCTTGTTGAGAGCAGCAACGGCCTTTTCAGTCGACTTTAAGCCCGCCTCGTCAATGTCAGCGAGCGCGAGCTTCGTCACACCGTTTCGAGCAAATGCTATGCTTGTGGCCTTTCCGATTCCTGAATAACAAGTCAATCAAGTGACGAGTACTATCAACAATGCAAAGTTTTTAATATTTACCAGATCCGGCGCCAGTTATTACTGCGACGCCTTTAAGAAGTTGGTTCATGACTGTACTGACTTCAAAGGTGGCAGGCAGGCTGGAGCAGTTTTTCAATATGGACACGGCCTCGTCTACCTAATGAAGGTTGTTAACTCGTGTCAGGACCATTTATCATTTATGTGTGTGAACAAAACGCCCAATGGAGGAGTTTCGTGGGATTCATCATTCTTTCGGGAAATTGCCATCCGGCATTTCACACCCAGGAATTTTACCGGCTCCAATGAATATCTTTGGCGAATCCGTAGTGTAGGTCGTCTCAAACCCATTGCCCATCAGGCAGTCCAATCGGCAGAGTATCTTGCTGCATCGGGGCTCGAAATTCAAATTGCAGCTCTAATCTCGATGTAATAATGGCAAATGCTCTTCCATCACCAAGTCCGGGTGTTTGTGATTGTTCTACGTCTGGCCCCTGGTTCTACTTCTAGATCAAGCTCACATTGCCCTCTACAAGAATTTCATCTTGTTGCTAATCTTCCCAATCTGTTCAATCTCAATGGTTACCGTGTCGCCATCCTGTAGCCACCCGGGAGGCTTCATCAAAGCTCCCACCCCACTGGGGGTTCCTGTCAAAATGACCGTGAACTTTCTCAAAGTCATTGCCCTGCTCAAATGCCTGACAAGCGTAGGGACATCGAATATCAAATCGTTTAACAAGGTCGTCTGTCTCTGCTCGCCATTCACTTTGGTGGTCATTCGGAGGTTACCAATGTCTGGCAAGGCCTTGGGAGAGACCAGCACGGGCCCGATCGGAGCAAACTTATCAAAGCCTTTTGCGTAGCCAGCTTGTCCAGCACGTTCTGGCATTTGCCAATATCTGGACGATACGTCGTTTCCGACACAGTACCCGAGGACATAATCCATCGGGTCTTCATCTGGCCTAATATTTTTGCAGTCTTTGCCAATGATCACACAAAGTTCTCCCTACATAAATACTTGCTATTAGTTCGCGTCAAGAATGATGGGCAGTTCGCATTGCGACCATTTCAACATACCTCGTAGTCCATTAGTGTGCATTCCTTGTCGATTGGAATTTCCTCGAACGGGCCAGCGAGAGCATCAACTGGCTTGGAAAAGATCATAGGATAGTCCGGGGTAGGCAACTGTGACAGTTCAACACCTCATGTCCAGGCTGATACCTTTTCATCTGGCCTCACATTTGCTTCTGCTGCATGAGCCTTGTAATTCAAGCCTACCCCGTAGATATGGCTCGCGTGGGGAATGGGACTCAAGGTTTTTGCCACATTTTTCGTCGCCCCTGACAGTCGCATATCTGATTGAAAAGGATTGTCATAGATAGGGAGGTTGACATTATCGACGGTTGCGCCGGGTGCCTGATCAGACGCCTCACCATAGTAAACATTGCCATCTGTGGACTCGAACCGCACGAGACGCTCGAAAGATGCCATTGCTAAGGGTTGATTGTGAAAGTGTCACCACCCTTGGCATAGCATATAATAGTGATCATGTACAGTATATTTCCTGCACAAGAGTCTTTCATCAAAAACGCCCCTCTCGTCTTGTGAAGAAGGCTCCGCTCAAGCCGGAGGGCCGAGCGAAAGAGGGAATCCGAGATGGTGGAGACTGCCAATTGGAGAGGGTGGAGGTCTGGTGGAGGGAGGCTCGGCCGGGTCAAAATGCTCGCCGAAACACACATATCCAGCCAAAGGCAGAATGCAGCGTGATCAGCACGCCGAGTCAGAACCAATGTGGATGGAGACTATTCGCACTGAAATCAGGATTCATTATAAGGCTACCCAGGCTTTGAGTTATCCATCTCCTTCATATGTTATAGAGAAAACTACCCCTAAGTTCTGACCTTCAATTGATTTAACGTACAGTACAATACAGTCCCTCTCGCGCCATCATGACAGCGATTACAAACAAGAAAACCACCGGCGAGTGGCACTATCTGGGTGACCTGACCACCCTGGACAATCTCCATGCCACATTGTCATTTCCCATGAGCGCTTTCCATAAACCCGAACTGAAGAAGGAAGAAGAAGAAATCTTCCAGCACTATGCCGACTGGATGCTTTTCAACGACACCCGATTTGCGGTGGCGCCCCAGGAAGGAACCAGATTCTATGACTGTGATCAGGTGTTGTACTATGATATGATGGGTTTGATTCCTCGTATGACGCTGTCGCCTTCCATAGACTTGCCGCTTTGGCTATGACTGTCAACTAATTCCGTGAATGATCTATCTAGGTGGAGGTTTTCATGACCATTTTTACCATATTGGACGTCAGTTATGCAGTTTCTTACTTCCCACATGGCACCTTCCTACGGCAAGGTACTCAGTTGTACATGCATAAGCTAACATAAACCCGATTGCGCAGCGTATTATGCAAAATCACATATCGGCTACAAGGACATGGAAGTCATCGCCGCATCCCCAGATATGGGCTTTGTCAACATGTTCCAGGCAGGTTCTGTTTTAATTCCCGCTGGCTACGTTCCACTATAAGAAAGTCGCTGGCTGACCACTCTTTCACACAGCACTACTGGGGCACAACTACTGATGGGCATGATTTCGACTTTAAATTTCGGTATACTGGGATTCTGCGGAAGAAGGATGGTATCTGGAAATGGATCGAGGAGCACGTCTCGTTCCCGGTGAACGTCGCCACGCAGAAGGGTGATCTCACTTGTAGTCTTGACGCTGGCGAGAATCTGAGGATGGATGATAAGGACAATGAGAAACGAGGAGAGGAGAATTTCAGAAAGGCAAAGGACTATGTGAAAGTCTGAATACACTCTCCTTGAACGCTCGGAGCTGATGGCTTGAGCCTTGAAGAGAATGGTGTTCTCTGATGGCAGCGCTCCTGCACTGACTCTTGATTCTGTTCCGTCCTGGGTAGAAGATGTTTCAGCTCCACCATTGGTGCCATGTGTTGTCTTGTTAAGTGCATCGCCGATGTCTTGCGGCACCTAATTCAAGAGGTAGTACTAGCATTGAAATTCCGCCATGCAGGCTCGAGCCGCAGACTCACGGCCTTCCTATCTTCCTCCGCTGATTTTCGTTGTCGATTCCTATGAGCTTCTTGCATATCCGCCAGTTCTCCTAGAAGCTCTTTGATTTCTTCTGAAGTGAGACTTTCCTTGTTCATCATGGCTTTAATGGCATCAAGTCGCCGAGTGATTGTGGTGAGGGCAGTTTCAAGTTGATTTCGTTTTCATTTCCACTCGTTCTCGGCCCGCATGTTTTCCTTGACTGTACCATCGTGTTTGTGAGCCCAGACTCGCTTCTCGGCGTTGAGCGAACACTCACCCTTGGTCTGCGTCTTTTCCAACCACTCGAGAGTCCTAGGGGATGCTCCGGCTTTCATGGTGACTTCGATGTACCAGTCGCACTGTAGTTCATGATCAGGGTTTCCTCTTCAAGCGTGCGCCATTAGTCCTTACCATCGCGAGCTAGTCTTTAGCTTGGTCTTCACTGCTTGATGCCATTTCTGAAGGATCTCCGTCTTTAGATTGGGAAGACGGTGCTTGCTGTAGCCTGTGGTTGTGTCTCTTGGGTGGTAGTGTGGAATAGATGTGGCCGAAATTTCAGAAAGTCGTTATCATAAGTTGAAAAGATGAATAGAGGTACAGTTGTCATGACTATTCTCAACCTATCTGTGAGGGAGAAGAAAACTAGAGTTTTGAATATCAGGCCTTGCAGTGTCACCCGTGTAGTGAAGTATCTTGTTACTGCCTTCACTGCCATAATTAGTGAATACTAGGTCCTAAGTAGGCATGTATCCCTATGCAGCGCGACATGAAGAGTCCGATATTCCAACTTCCGCATACCGCATTTGCTTTGCGATAAGTGAAGGGACCCTAACAGTCATCTGAGAGACTAAAGAAAATGTCCAACATTAAGCAAGGTCACGTTTTTGATAGCCGTGCACACTGTTGTCACTATATTTTCCTTGGACCCGAACCGGGGTTCTTTGCCTCGGCGAACCTTCATTGGTGCTGGTGGTGCCATGGTGTTCAAGCCGGCCGAAAATGGTCTAGACTTTTCATTTCTGCATGGCTTTGATCCACGGTGCACTGTCCTGAACATGTCGTTAGCCACCTCACAATCCAAGTCGAAGGAGCCAGAAACGACCGCAAGGCATGATTTACTTACACCCCAAACTTTGTACAAAACCCCTTCTGGACTCTGTTGCACGTCTCCTGCAAATTTTATCTGGGCAATGAACTCGGTGACGACTTGATTGCCATTCTTCAAAACTGCAGTGAGCTTGCCAATCAGAGCAATCTCGGAGTAATCGGCCTTGCCACAAAACACTTGCAGCACTTCATGTTTGCGAAACTCGAAGTTATCCCATGCAGACTTCCTGCTCGCCGCGATAGCTGCATTGGTTGGTAATAAGATATTAATATTGCACTGCACTGCACGCGACTAGCCTAGCCTATGAAACGAAATGAAATGAATTTGAGGTGTAGTAGACAGTAGGTCTTACCTTCTTTCCCTTCAGATCTTCCATGCATTCCGTAGATCACCGCATTATCAGCGTACAACCCAGCCAGCTGCTCACCAGAATCTGGCGCCTTTGAATCAACAGTTTCAAAAAGCTTGGACAGCCACGATTGCAGAGCAGGTGGCGGCGGAAGGCCTTCTGGCCAGATGGTATTTGTGAGCGCAGACATGAAAAATGCTAACTAGGTAGTAGTACGACTGGAAATCGTGCCAAGGAAAAACGGTCTTTGCAACTCAAGCATTCTCCTACAGTACAAGCAGCCCGAGACACTCCCACTCTTTAAACTAACCGGAGCTCGGGGCCTTGCACAGACCAGCCCCCATACTTTCGTCTTCCAAGTCAGAAAGGTCGTAATGGGAGGGGTGGACAGAGAAACAGGAGTACCGGAGTGGTCGCTTCCGAGAGCCCACGCTCCGGCCGGAGACGGTTTCGTGTGGCCGTCAAGTCACGAGCGACTCCACTGGGAACCGGCCCATCGCCCAGCGCCCATCGTTTGATGCAGACAACAGACGGCCCGCCGTGCAGTCCAGATGCAAGAAGAGATGCCTTTTACTCCTGAGTCTACTACTTCTAATATGCCAACCTCCAGTCTTTCATCTCCGGCTAGTCCACTCCGAAAACAAGGTGTCCAATCGTTCCGAATCTACGCCTAACATTTACAAAAACCAACCTTTTCAATCTGACCATCACCTCGAGTTCACCGTGTATCGCAGGCCAGGATGATTGACAAACACAACGCGAATATGGAGGAAGAGATCGTTGCCGACGACACCATCGTCATCGCTGGCGGAGGACCCGTGGGCCTCATCCTAGCCACCGTCCTGGCCAAGTATGGTCTGAAGTCCATTATCCTGGAGCGCAATGAATCTACAACCAGGTAAGTGCCCGGTCCCCGAATCCTTCCCTTTCACATGCTCTCTCTCGACTAAAGACCTGTGTGAAGGTGGCCGAAGATGGACCTCACCAATGTTCGTTCGATGGAACTGCTGCGGCGATTAGACTTGGTGGATGACATTCGCAAATTGGGTGGGCACATCTGGTTCCGTGGGCGCCTCAATGGAAAAGTAGCAAAAACTGACAGTTTTCGTGTTCGAAACAGGAGTCCCAGATACCACACCCTATAAGGTCCTGATATTATCTGGCCTGCACGCCCAAAAGCCCATCACCACCTGGGAGTTTCCATGCGTCAAGGATCTCAAGCAGGAGATTAGAGACAAAAATGAAGGAAGCATGCCGCTGGAACCGTGGCAGCGGATATCACAGGCCATATTTGAGAAGTATCTCAAAGCTCGCTGCGATGACAACCCTTTGCTCGATTGCCGTTTCGGGTGGAGGGTCGTTAAGGCTGTCGAGACAGACTCCGGAGTCTATGTCCACACCACAAATGTCGCGAGTGGGGTGACAAAAACGATACGGAGCACATATCTCGCTGCTTGCGACGGGGCCTCAAGCCGAGTGAGGCGGGATATTGGCATCCCACTGGACGGTGGGCCTGTGTACGTGGTTGATTGTTTTGATTGATCCTATTCTCGCCTCCCCACCCCGTCCTTTGACATGTGATGTGATGTGATGAGCTTTTTTTTCTGACAACCAACATGCACTGTGCACACCACCAGCCCAGGATATACCCTTCTCGTGCACTTCAAGTCGCGAGACCTGGACAAGTTGTTTAAACTCGGGCGGTTCTGGCATCTGTTCATCTGCAATGAACACGGACTTGGCAGTGCGGCCATTAGCCAAGACGACGAATACATCTTCACCACTCATCTCCTGCTCCCCGTGGATGTCGATCACGAGAAAATCGATACCCACGATGCCGTTTACCAAGCTCTTGGGGGTATGGGTGGCCCTTTTAAAGTTGAGATCGACGAGATACTGGTAAGATCCGCATATCGGCACAGTATTGCCGTGGCGCGGGATTATCGCAGCAGACTAGGGAAAGTGTTTCTGGCTGGGGACTCGGCTCACCAAAACATCCCTACCGGCGGGTATGGAATGAACATGGTACGTTCTGGGTGCAATTAACTTTTTGGCGCTGGCAGGATACTGAAGCTTTTGTATGACAGGGGATTGGCGACGCATTTGACTTGGGTTGGAAACTTGCCGCCACAATCAGAGAAAATCTTGGGCCGGGCCTGCTGGATTCCTACCAACAAGAGCGGAGAGCGGTGGCAGCGACCAGCATTCAACAATCTGGCGTTCACATGCAAACACATCTTGCTCTCACAGAGTTCCTCGGCACAGATCCCCATCTCGTAGATGAGGATTCAGAGGCAGGACGCGCCTTGCGACGAAGGATCCACGAGCACTACCAAGCCAATAAGGGTGAGAACACTGACGTCGGCATTGAAATGGACCATCGACACAAATCCTGCGTCTACCCAACGCCGTCGGAGGGAGACGGTGTAGAGCCCCCCTGGTCTCCTAGCACCTATGTCCCCAGCACGTTCATCGGCTCGCGAGCGCCACATGTGTACTTGAAAGATGGAACCGCCATTTTCGATCTGTACGGCGAGTTCTGGACGCTGTTCGAGTTCTCCGACGATCATGAGGAGCCGGCGCAGTGCGAGAACCTGCTTGCGGCCGCAAAAGAAAGCGGCCTGCCGGTGAAACTTGTAGTGCTGCGCAACGAGGAAAACGCCCGCCGTGTCTGGCAGAGTCGACTTGTCCTGGTCCGTCCCGATGGACATGTAGCTTGGCGCGGCAAGGATGCACCCAACACTAAGGAGGCCAAGCGTATCATGACCATCATCGCCGGTCACGAGCCCCTCCTGTCACAATCCCAGAAGAGCTACGTCGGACCAGAGATCAAGGTGCCATTTGCGGCCACAGAGGGTGTAACAAGTCAAGTCGAGGAGTACCATCTGGAACAGATGGGTGTCATGCAGCAGTGAGCTGGATCAAACAGAGTCCCAAATACACGAAGCATAGCTGTAGATCATCCGGGTCGAGACGGGTCAAAGGAACGTAACGCGGAATCTCCAGCAGAAGATTTATACTGCATAGACATCGTCGGTCAAAAAATCCATGAAATTCAAGTTTGGGCCCTGTAAACGTTAACGAACTATCTTTGGTGGCTACCGCCCAGCGACATACCGTCATGGTAGGGGAGAAAATGGCCGGTTCTGGCGCCTCAAAGGGCGTCACATCAATCCAGGCATCGCGTCGGATTTGTTCGACAGCCCTCCGCGCGATGTGCGCCATGTCCCGCACAAATTGAACCTCCAGTTGCATCGAAGTCGCGAATTCCAGCTGTGCAAAATGTCCGGTGGCCATATCCATCAGCACCACGTCTGAGTGGGCAGATGGCGCCAACGGGTTCTGGAGGATGTGGACAAAGAGGACAATCAAGGCTGTCATGGGGTAGGAGAACAACAAACTATTTCCCTCTCGCGTCAGTGAAAGGAACATGACTAGCAGGTATTGCCCATAAGAAGAGGGATTGCATACCATCCTGTCGTGTTCATGTCGGTATCGATATATCTTGTGGCCAGAACGACGCTTCTGGCCGCTGATACGGCCTTTTCTCTCCCAAATGCCGCGTTGTCCAGACTGCTTCCCCTCGCGGTCCACGGGAATTTGTTGTACATCGCTATGACGGTGCCGTAATATGTGTAGTGCATGTAAACCACCGGGTCAATGTGTACGCCGGCTGGGAGTGAAGATTTTTTGATGGGCGCACCAGGTCGCAGATGTAGTGGAAGCGAATCTCGCCATTCCGAGAGTGCCTGGTCTAATTGTTCAACTGCTGCCCTCTCCTGGATAGTATTCTGTCGCCTTCCGGCAGCGGAGAAGAGTTTCTTGTAAATCAATGATTGAATCTGGGCACTTTTGATCATCTGCATGAATATTTCGAATTTATTGGGATTTTCAGATGCTTGGCGTTCTGGTAGGGCGCAAGAGATGCTTCATGGCCTAGGTTAGCAAGGGTGTATCGGAAAAGTCTGGGTTCAACATACTCGTCGTCATCGATGCACGATTGCCGACCATCGCGCAGTGAGATGTGCTTGTCATAACAGTAGAGAGCCCACCAGATCCGGTTTCCCACAAAGCGATCGCTTGGGCTGAGTCTTTCGTTTGACACTGGTTCATAATTCAGTCGCAAGCCCTGTGCTACGCGAATGGCATTCGAGCAGAGCATGGATTCAATACTGGAGCCTAGGAGGTTTTCGGCGAAGAAGCTCTGAGAAAGGAGAATTAGACACCACCAATCACGCGAGTGGAGGACGTAGGCCTGACGTACCATGATTGTTAGTGCTTGGACACCCGTCAGGTCCACCTGCCGCGCGAAGAGTACTTGAGTGTGAACCGAGAGCGCGTTGAGGAAATACTGCATCGCGCTTTCGTGTATCGTTTTCGCATCGCACCCGGTTCTCGTCAACAGGAGCCGAGTGCCCGTGGCGTAGATGGTATTCCGGAGAGCATACCAGCTGGGGTCACTGTCTGAGTTATCGCCATCCTGAAGATGTGCTCGAAGTCGGGCCTCGAACTGCCGCCGGTCGATGGCACCTTATTCATGAAAATGAAGTCAATGACGCTGACACGAGCAGGTATCACAGACAATGGAAGACTCACCAAAGAGCGTTTCAACCCGGTTATCGAAGTATTCTGCAAGATGGTCAACGTTTGTTAACTTCGCTGAAAGGGGCAGCAGGTGTACCTTGACAATACTTCCAGGCCATCTGCATATCAGGTTCTGGGAATTGCTTGAGTTTTGGCGGGCACATGAACGTTGACTTGTAGTCAGCATGCCTCGAGAGCCGCGTGACAATGTCTGTCACAGACTGTTCATCCGCTGAGCTGACTCGTGCCTTGAGCCAGTTGACGGCGCTCTCGGAGCATATTGCCAAGTAGGATTTTGAATCGTGGCCACCGATCAAGTGACTCCTCTGTGGCGAGGTGGGTGCTTCGTCGCCGCTGTCACTGAGACGCACGTCCGGCCAAACTGTACCCATGAGAGTTGTGCCAACACGTCCACCTAAGTGAGTCGTGGCAGTGGAACAGAGGCAAACATCTGGAAAGGACTCTGTAGGAAGGACTCTTAGATGTGGTGAAGTCCGAGTCTGATACTTCTGTCAATTCAAGCGTTGTCGATCGATCGTAGACACGCGTGTCTGAGGCCGAGGTCCGTGTTGGCCACGTGCCAGCTTGCGCCGTTCGAATTTTGGAATGCGGCGCCCTTTCCTTACCCCGGTGTGATTGCAATAGCTTCCCGCGCTGGAGAGCTTCCAAAACCAGATTACATCGAACGATATTGAGGTGATGTACGATGGGGAAGAGAGAGAGGTGCAAAGGACGATGTTGAGGAGGCTCCGAGAGAAGTTGAACTGGAGGCTGCTGCATGATCTTTCAGGTCGGCATTCGGCTTCGTGCGTCCAGATACTTTGAATGTAGACCACTCCTCTCCGCTTTTCAACCCGGGCCCCTCCCCCACAAAGCCCGAGAAATGGGTCTGGACTTGAGAATGATGGCCTTTGGTTGGCATCGAGAGCCACCCTTCGAAACCTTGTTGTCGTTTAGCCTCTACAGGCAGCATGAATGATGACAGTACCACCCGCAGGGTACCGAAGCGGAGGGCGGGGGAGCCTTAGATAGTCAATGGGAGCCATCAGCTCTGCTCGTTGTTGGGCCTTGGCGGCTTGGCAGAGCAGTGCACATCTTGCTGCCATCCTGACATGCACTCACTCTCGTGCATAACTCCATACCCTACCTAAAGTACGATACAGCCCAACACCCCCCTTCCACCCTTTCCAGGTTGTATCTGGTCTTATACTGATAGCATCCCCGGGTCCGCTGTTCTTCACCAGATGAGACTATGTTGCAAGCAAGTGATAGCGGAGAGACGCCCCCCAGGAAGCGCATGGTTGCATGTCTCCCCTGTCGAGACAAGAAAATGAAATGTGAACTGCCTATTTGCCATTTGGAACCCTCCACCCGCCATCAACCTCTGACCTATTTGCTCTTAGGTACTGGTACATTGCCATGTGAACGGTGTCAGCGGCAAGAAGAACAGTGCTTCTACCCAGAAGGACGGAAGAAACCAACTCCCAAACGCCGCACTGAAACTCAAAGGCTGGCCAGGCGACTCGAACACTTTGAACAGCAACTTCTGCGGCTTGCACAGGAGAAAGGATCCGACCAAGATGCAGCAGCAGACTCCGAATTGCTGGTCCCTACAATCAGTCAGACACCAACCACATCGCCAGAGGGTCACGTGAGTGTTACTGGTGATAGTCATTTACATTCTGCAGCCTTCGCTCGCAATGAATTGCTAGAGCTCGCTCTGTCGACGCCCACTTCGCGTGGCGCTACGATATTATCCGACTTTTCTCAGGATGCCATTGGAAACGGCCTGCGGCAGCAAAGTAGACAGATTCCAGCTCCTAGCGACCCTAAATTTGCTCAAGGCACTCCATACCCCTGGATTGCGACACCAAGAGAGTATCCTCACCTTGAAACTACAAGTCCGATTTCCACAGTAGACAAGGTTGGTCTCGCTGAGTAAATGTTCTTGAGAATCGTCGCTGACTGCTACAGCTCTCGTATGACTATCCAGGTGAGATACATCTGCTGCTCTGGAAGGCTTATATTGAACATCGAAGGAATCTCCTTGGAGCTGTCAATATGCTCGAAAGCTGGTGCTCAGTGGGTTGCAGCCATCACCGGAAGCACCGCGTTTGAAACTGTCAGACACACTATTCTCTCCAACCAGCGGCAGAGATGCGGTGGCCCAAGGCGGACACCGAGGGAGAGGACTCCTGAGCCAGATATGGCAACTGCGATGATCTATACACAAGGTCTGACTTCGGCCCCTTACTCAAGTGTGTAGTGTAGATTTCCTGACCAATAGCATAGCATACTTCGAACAGTCCCCCGAAGCAGTGTTTGGTATCGTGGACCGGACATCCTTTGAGACTCAATTGCGCCGTCACTTCAACGATCCCTCTCCGGTGCACTCCGAAGACCCAGCCTGGTATGCGCTTCGCAACACCGTATATGCAGCAGGTTGCCGAATGCTCCTATCGGAAGTTGAATACTCATCTACTTTCGCGGGTGCACAGGAGCCCAGCGGGAACTTCTTCGAGAACGCCCTTTCAGTCCTATCGGAGCTTCTCTATCCGCGGGAAGATCTTGAGGCTGTGCAAGCTGTTGTTCTTATGGTGAGTTTCTTACTAGGCTACAGTTCCGTGCTAAAGTTGTGACAAGACCCTATATTGCGGTGGACTTTCAAGTCCATCGATAGATCACACATTGATCTGTACCGCTGTTCGACTAGCGCAGCAAATCGAGCTAGATCAGTCTCCTGCACGACGATGGTCATCTGATGGTAGTGATGATGTACTGGGATGCTGGCTTTTCTGGACCATTTATTGCCTAGAGAAGCGCATCGCCTACGTAAATGGCTTCAATTCGGTTTGCACATTCTCTAAAACAGTGTACCAAGAGCTAGACTAAAGTTGTACAGATGTTGGATGATAACGCAGTCACTTGCCCATTGCCGACAATGTCACCCAACTCAAGCCATGCGGAGACTGTTTTTCTCACTTATTGCATTCAGCACGCAAAGATGCTGTCGGAGATAATGCAGGGATGGGGATGCAAGAGGCTTTTCGATGTCTCTGCCGAGAAATGCCACCACACGTTCCAACACCTTGATAGGAAACTCGAGGATTGGAGGGAGTCATTGCCCGATTTCGCCAAAGTCCGGAAGCGAAATAGCCGACTAGAGGTTCCCAGAGACTGGAACCCGCATGCCGTGACATACTTGCAATGTGCATACAACGCCGTTCTCATGGAGATTCACTTCCCCCTAGTGTGCCCCTGGATGAGCCAATTGTTAGGGGCAGAAGCTTCGCCGGCAACAAAAGACCAGGCGATTCATAGCTCGGCATTGGTGGCAGAAGCTGCAAGGAATGTCATCCTGACGTCCAATACCGGGTCAATCAATGCTTCCACCCCATCGTGGTAAGTTGTTTACCGATTTCGGTGGTACTATTACGGCGCCCGCAGCTGACAGTGGATATCCGGCAGGCAGATGTTCCATCTTCCGACCATGGCCGCGATGAGCCTCTTCATGCATGTTCTCAAGGAGCCCAGTTCACCTAGCGCCAGCAGTGATATTGCACTTCTGGACATGCTATCCGGCCACTTTGGATACCTGGGGCACACCTGCGGCATCGAGGCTCCGCTCTCTTCCGTGCGGGAGATCGCCAACATTGCCCGAAATGCCGTACGAAAAGCAGCCGGACCGAAGCAATTCGCCGGGCTCCATGGAGGTCTCGGTTGACCAAATGAGTGCCTTGGGGGCCTTGCTCGGACGGAAATGATTCGACACCGGCACGATCAGGTTTCCACCAATCGGAGAATGATTTGGACATCAGATATCAAGCAGGACCTTGGATTCTGTATGCCGTCGTTTGCTACACAGCTACACAGCTACACAGGCAACTGAGACCATTCGGTCACGACCGAAACTTGGATTCAAGCACTATCCTTAGCAACATCGTCCCGATGGCGCCAATTGAGGCCCCCAAGCTGACACACGTTTTCGACCTGACTGTCATCGGCCCACCAGGGTTTGCGTCAGAAGGCACTCAACACTCGGCTACAAGTGTAGCTCATGGTAGGTTTTGCATTTGATATTTGTCTAATGCGTCAAGTATGCAATAATGACTAACAATCTCCCCTACTACCTAGTCTACAGGGGGTCTTTGGTATCTGCAGATGGAAGCATCAATCTCGAATTGAAGGCTGGGAGTGATTGGATGACGTTACATGAGGGTTATGCGCACATGGACGCGCGAGTGTCGTGCGCCTCGCCTGCAGAGTCCCAACCACAGCTTCAGTGCGACATCCGTTATCTCGGAGTATGTGCATTCGACGGGCCAATGCTGGATTTGTGGAAAGGAAAGCAGGAATCGATCGACTTTGGCGAGGCGTACTACTATACTCAGCCCATGCTTTCGAGCAGAAGCGAGGCATTGGCATGGGTCAATAGAACAGTTTTTATAGCGATGGGCAAGCTATTTGTGCGATCTGACGGCGATGTTGAAGCTGTCTACAGGATGTTCAAGGTTGGGTAGACATTTGATCCTTGAGGCATAGCACTGGCTGCAAGCTGTAGAGCAGTAGGAATTTATATGATGCCAACAAGACAATCCTTAGAATGTTGTCTCCGGTCTCCGGCTTGAAGTTTCTCAAGATAATCGTGGAGCTTGACTTCCCTTGCTTGAGTTAAAATACATCGGCACATTCTAACATTGCCGGTGCCTAACTCCAGTCCACATACCAGCCTACCCTGTCTTTCCTCTGCCCCATCTCCAAGCTGACCGGGCCCGGGGTAACCCAGATCAAGCATCATCCCAGATCAATCACTTCCCCACGGAGACCATGATTTATTTAGGCTTTAAGGGCAAGGAATGCTTCGACGTGGCAGAACTACAACGAGAACCAGCGTCTCTTCTCCTTCTGTTTAACATCATCAAATTCTAAACACAAACATGTTGGGTCTACTGGTGTCTGGCGCTCTCGCAGCCGCTGAAACGCTCTCGTTGATTCGATTCGGGCCCATCAAGCCTGAATCATTCACAACGACGTTCGCATGTGCAGTATTTCTTAATTTCCTCACACTGCAAGCCTTCCACATATTTGTGTACCCTTTTTACTTGTCGCCACTTCGAAACCTGCCTCGTCCAAAGGTGCGTTTCGCCGTTCATGTCACTTGAGTGATACCTAATGTCTTATTGAACACTGATTCGATAATATCTTCCTTAACATACTAACTCGGGTTCCTTACAGGTCCGCGGAAATATCCTGCTCGGTCAGATCCCGAATCAATACAACTCGCTCCCCAGCGAGCTGGAGAAACAATGGATGCTAGAACATCCCGACGCGCCTTTTATTCGATACTTGACCTTCCTCAACAAGGAGGTCCTTCTGGTCAACAGCCCCCAAGCGCACAAAGAGGTGCTCCAGACTCAGTGTTATTCGTTCCGGAAGCCGCTGTACTACCAAAGAATTATTGGCGAGATTGCTGGGATGGGCATCCTCTTCGCGGAGGGTGAGGAGCATAGAAGGATCAGGAAGATGTTGATATGTTCGTTGAGCCCCTTGCAGTTACTATTTCGCCTGCTGCGTTAAAAGCTGATAGTGATCATTGCTGATTGCTGACCGTGTTTGAAAAGCACCATTCTCATTCGGCAACATCAAGCGGCTTCTCCCCTTTTTTCAGACCAAAGCGACGGAATTGGCCAATTTGATATCCGCGTCTCTTCAAAAATCTGAGCTCGTCGAAGGTAATGTTGACATTTTGCAATTTAAATGGTCTGGACTACTTGACTCGTGAGAAGCTTACAAGTTAGCGGTGTACAGTTTCCGGCCTCCTCGCAAAAACCACCCTTGACATCGTCGGGCTCGCCGCCCTGGGATACCAGCTCGACTCTCTCTCGAAACCGTCCATCCTTGCAGAGAGCTACGAGAAGATCTTCGAGTGCATCACTCCATTGCAAGTCCTGATATCGACCATCCACCGATTCATTCCCGTTCGATCGTGGCTCCCACTCAAGGTCAATAAAGAATATGTCCACGCCAATGCCGACGTTCGAACACGACTCCGACAGCATATCAGGCAGAGGAAGAGAGAGTTTCAAGAAGGCAAGATCCTAGGGGAGAAACAAAGCCGGGATTTGTTGACTCTGATGATCGAGGAGAGTAAAGACACGTGGTCAGAGGATGAGATGCTAGGATATGTGAGTTTCTTACTTTCTTTACATTACGTAGTACGTTCTTTCCGGGTGATTTTGAGTCCTAACTTGTTGCAGCTTTTGAACTTTATGTCTGCGTAAGTTTGCCGTCATTTATCCTGGTTTAGATGAACCGTGAATACGAGAAGGAAACAACTTCTCACAACCCCTTATGACAGTGGCCACGAAACTACAGCAGGGGCTTTGACATGGGCCCTATATGCCCTCACGCTGTATCCCGCGATGCAAAAGCGCCTCCGGGATGAAATCAAAGACGGATTCACCAATTCCAAATCCCCAAGCTACAACGAGATCGAGGGGCTTCAGTTTCTGAACAACTTCACCAAGGAAGTATTGAGATATTATCCTCCAGGTTAGCCCTCATTCTCCTTCTCCTTCTCCTAGTTAGCAAGGCTTGCACTATGCCAGCAGTGGCTAAACTGATCATTACCTACTCAGCCCCAACCTTCCCCCGTGAAACATCCATCGACGTCACCATCGCCGGCATCCCAATCCCCAAAGGAACACTCATCACCATCGCCCCCGCGACCATCCAATTCAACCCTCTTATCTGGGGCCCGCGAGCCGAGGACTTCGATCCCGACAGGTTCGACAATCTCCCCGAAGCAGCGCGCGATCCGTTTGTTCTCGAGGCCTTTTCCGCTGGGCCGCGGGTGTGCATTGGGAAATCCTTTGCTCTTTTGGAGTTCAAGACGATTCTGTGTGAGTTGGTGCGCAGGTTCGAGTTTGAGAATACAGGGCCGGCGGAGCCGCAGAAGAGTGGGCCTAGTTTGCGGCCTCTGTGTGGGATGACGATGAAGGTAAGGGCTGTGTGAGAGGACTGAAGAGAGGTTGCTTGAGTATGAGGAAGGAGAAGATGGAAGTATCAAGATTCAAGTATCAAGTATGACTATTCTCTTATGCTAAATGTCAATATCACTTGTTGGCCACGCGATAAAATGCCTCGCGGGCCTGTTCCTTCTCCAGCGCCATCATCATCTCCACGGTCCAGTCCTCGTGCACATGTCCCTCGGGTGTATTCGTCGAAGTGAATGGTTTGCTACCATCTCGAGAGCTCGCCACAGCCTCATCGCATCTCTCGTCGGCGTATTTCTCTGCATCATGTCCAAAGAGCCACAGCGGTTGCGGCATTTTGAGGAACTCCGGGTTCGCTTTGACGGCGTCCCAGTCCGTTTGATGCCATCGATGCCTCGTCTCCCAACCCATTCGCTGGGTGAGACTTGTTCTCTCGTATCTAGTAGCAGTTCTCCGTCAGTTTCTGCGATGGACATCATACATGCAATTTTCGACCCTCAGGTTTCAACCAACATACCTAATCTTCTCAAACGCTCGGAATGCATCGGGAATTCCATCTTTTCCCAGCTTGGTGACCAACGTGCCAATTGTCACACCGTCTTCCATTGCTTGCGCAGCGCCTTGACCTGACGTTGGTAAATGAGGGTGAGCTGCGTCGCCGACCAGTACGATGCGGCCAGTCTTTGAAACCCACTGTCTGATGGGATCGCGCCAGAGAAGTTTCCAGTCTATCAACCTGTCTGGGGGGATGGCTCGCATAGCAGCTTGAATCACGGGGTCCCATCCATCCACCACCTTGAGCATGTCATTGAGATCTCCGGGGTAACTCCACGACTCTTCGACCTCGTACGTGTCCTGATTGTCGCCGTTAGAGACCATTCCGACTGTGGGGTGGGAGATGAACTGAAATACCTTATGAGTACAGAAAATCACAGCCGACTTGGGCGCCGCCGAGATGAACAAAATAGCATGCGTGTCCGTGCCCAGCCACACCTCAAACGTATCCTTCGCATCCTCGACGTAATTTTTGGTTAGGGGACTGTCTTTGAGCAGCTCCAGCGGAAACCAGGTCCTATAGACGGCAAACCCACTCGTCCTGGGATGCTGCTGGATCCCAATGACATGCTTCCTTGCTGCGCTGTGAATCCCATCGGCGGCAATGACTCCATCGGCCTCGACTTGTTCGCCATCACCAACCACTACACCTGCGCATCCGTGCTCCTCGTCCTCGAAATACTCTCGAATGCGGCATCCAAAGCGGAACTTGATGCCGAGGGACTTTGCGTATCCGAACATGAGGCGTTGCAGCATGCCTCGATTGGAATAGAGGATGGGAGACCCGTTGATTTCGGTGGGAAGCGGTGGTTGAATGATCACTTTTCCATCCTTGTCACGCATGGTGATCAGTGGAGGTTGTGCCGACTGTGCTACTGCTTCGTCCAGGACATTGCCCCAGTTGGCCATGACTTTGGTCGCATTGGACCCGATTTGGACGATGTCGCCTGTGTGTGATATATTAGTTGAGAATTGAAGTCAGATACTCCGTACCCAGAGGATTTTGGGGAACAAACCTTGGGTGGTTAATTCCTTGACTGCCTCGATGACTTCGACTTGGACGCCTTTTCGATGTAACTCGATAGCGGTAGTGAGTCCAGCGAAGCCAGCACCGACGATGATAATGCGAGTCATCGAAGGACGGACTCCATTTGTAGCAGCTGTACCGTTCAGGGCAGTCATGGTGGAAAGAGGCTTGCTTGTCACTCTTCTTCGATGTGGGATGGAAATTGGAATCGAGGAATAGCTCAACCTCACTAATCCGTCTATATGAAAACACCCTCACAAACCCACCCAAGCTAAGAAAACTATAGTGGGTGAGATCTGTGCATGGATGATGTCTCGGCCAGACCAGTGCTACCCCGGTGAACGACTCCGTGCTGCTCGGAGTCATTACTCGGTATACCGTATGGGCGGGAAAGGGGGTGCGGGGGGTTGTTCCTTTCACTGTGGCAGCTTGGAACCGGCCCGGACTTGGTGCCCGGTGTCTGTTCTTATCCGGCTGTGAGCTGTGAACATTCCGAGAAAAATCAGCATTCAATCGTGCACAAACGCCAACCGAGCATTGAGACCAGGTCGACATATTTCATTATCATGGCTATCCCAGAAGAAAAAAGCAAATCAATTTCAGATTCTTCGGAGCCTGTGATAATCTAAGAACCTATAGGGTCTACCCTTTACTTCGCCTTGGCAGTATCGCCCAGTGTAAACCCATCTCACCACAGACATCAACATTATAATATATACTGCTTCGCTTCGCTTCGCAGAAATATATCACCATGGTCGCAGATTTCGACCAAAAGACAGACAAAGTCCTCGCCCCCAGCAAACTCGCCCACGTCGTCCTCCGCACCAACAACTTCGCCGCCATGGTGCAATACTACCAATCTTTCCTCGGCGCGTCGGTCATCTACTCCAACGACTTCCTCGCCTTCCTGACGTACGACGATGAACACCACCGCATCGCCATCGCCGGCATCCCCGACACAAAACCCAAACAACTCACGACCTGTGGCCTCGAACACATCGCCTTCTCCTTCAACACTCTCGAGGATCTACTGCTGTCCTATCGCCAACGGAAACAGAAAGACATCCAGCCCCTGTGGCCCGTCAACCATGGCCCCACGACGTCAATCTACTACCGCGACCCGGATGGCAACATGCTCGAAACGCAAGTCGACAATTTCGACTCACCGGAGGAGGCGACTGAGTTCATGAAGTCCAAGTATTTCGCGGAGAACCCTATTGGGACGGATTTCGATCCAGAGGAGTATATCTCGCGGTTGAGGGCGGGGGAGAGTGAAAGGGATTTGAAGAGGAGGGTGGAGATTGGGCCGCGTGGAATTCCTGTATTGTAGTAGTAGTATGAGCATGAGCATGAACATGAGCTGTATTGTATTACAGGATGTACAAGGTAGGTATTCATCAAGCAACTTCACTATTGTCCCAGAAAATCCAAAAACTCGTCGTCGGCAGAACCAGGCGGCGGGAGGAATGTGCTCCAGTTGTCCAGCTCCATGTCAAATAGATTCGATGCATCTCCCTGTACAGGTAAAATTAGTATCTTGCGCTCTGCTCGCGACTAACTATAAAATGACAAGACTGGGTGGCAATGGTGTCTTATAAGTTCTATGTCCGGACGACTTACAGTGATTGCATTGCCATCGCCATTGTCTCGGCATTCGTCAACTTCAGCAACACCGATCAACGTCGATGTGTCCGATGCACTAGCAGTAGCCTGCATTCCCATTCCCATTGCAGACTTTTTCGCATAAGGTCCTGGATTTACAGTCGCAGACGCAGTTGCAGGATGGACTGGTTGTGTCTGTGTTTGGGTCTGTGTCAGAAGGTCCGAGTTGTGGCGTCTGACAGCGGTCCGCGCGAGAGCAGCAATGTCCTTTGCGAAAGGAATGTACACCTCTGTAGCGAACTGCACGCGGGAGAAGTGTGCGGCGCCGATATCCATCAGAGCGAGATCGGACTGGGTCTGGAGTGAAGGGTGCTTTATGCGCTCGAGGATTTGGATGAAGAGATTAATCAGGGCGTAGAGAGGGCCGTAGAATGATAGTCTACACAAATATCAGAGATAGAGAGAGAAACGTAAGTACATATGTATCTAGATGAGAGACAAATACTAAGACAAAAAGAAACGAACTTACAAGAGCGGAGTGCAGGCGTCAATGTGGATGTACTGCGATGCCAGGATGGCGTTTCTCGCCGTCGTGGCCACCGTTTGAACAGACTTTTCCATCTGAAGTCGCGAAGCAGGGTGGTCTCTCAGATTGAAAGCAGCGCGGGACCACGGGTTCGAGAGGATGGTGTGAATGTCCAACGTGATGTTGTAGTAGTACAATCGGATATAGACTGCCTGTTGCACCGTCAACTCTCCGTCAGGCGTGGGAAGGCTGGCCGGTTTATCGAGAGACAGATATGGCTGGAGAAGCTCGCCCAGGCGCCGGTTCTCGGCGTCAAGCTCTGCGACTGTCGATGCTAGGTCTTGAGCAGGCTGAGGTTGTTGAGATGAGTCGATGTTGGAAAGTCTTCTCGTGACTGTAGATGACATTTGTGCCAGCCTGATCAGGATTGAGCAATAAGTCTCATTGACCGAGTTGCTTCCAGGTTCGGCCACGGGCCATTCGCAGTTGATGTCTTCATCCATGAGCATCTGCAATGTTGTTAGGACCTTGGACAAACAAAGCATGTCACTTCAAAACTTACCGACGGCCGCCCCGAACAACCAGATGCCCCCTTTTCGAGGCAGTAAAGTGCCCAAAATAACCGGTTTCGGTACCTTTGCTCGTATGGACTCATGTTCCAAGAAGACGCCGGCCGTCGATGCAGCCCCTTGGAGCATGCTGATCTCAGTGCGACGGTGGACAGCATATACTCGAGGCAAGGATTTCCCATGCTGTCTGTAAAGTATGCCTGCTCGATCGTGGTCAGTAACCAGTCAGTCCCAGCGCCAATGAAGGGCCTAGAGTACCATGACGGCCAGTGCCTGGATAGATGATAGCGACGTTCGGAAATACAATAGCTCAGTGTGGACAAGAAGTGCGTTGGCAAAATACGTCCATGCCACCTCACAAGCGTGTCGATAGCTTCCGGCCCTCGAAAGCTCGATTCGTGCTCCAGCCGCATAGATCGTGTTGCGCAGAGCAAACCAAGCAGGGTCATCATCATTGAGTGCTCCAGCAAAGTGAGCTTGAAGTCGGCTCTCGAATCTCGCCTGATCCATCAATCCGAACGGTGCTTCGGCGGCGAACTCGAAATAAGCTGGCGTTAAGTCTCGTCAGAGAGGTGGCATTGCACAAGACTCAAGAGTCAGGCTGGGGACCAGATAGTAATACCTTTGACATATCTTTGAGCAGCTTCGACAGTTGGTTCAGCGACTTTCTCCTTGGTCAATCCACTCTCGAGCTTCAGGCTTCGTGTGACCTCCTTTGTCAACCTGAAAGCAGAGTCTTGAAATGTATCGGTGCCCGTCTTCGATGATACCCAATGGATACCCGGCTTCGAACATATGGAAAGGTAAGACCTTGGTCCTTTTGAGGTGTCAATCGTAGTCCTGGGTCTATTGAGCATGGATTAATCACTAACCATGATACTCCCAGTTTGCCTGGCAACTAAGTCAGTCATAATTCATCTGTGTCTTTACATGCTTTGTGTGTGGGCGCAGTCACTAACCAAATCACGGAAGCAAACTTCTTCTCCTTCGCTGACATGATGCAAATCTTCGTCGCTCCTGCTTGCAAACTTCTGCCTTTCACGATGTGTATTTCCAGATCCTAGCATCGTTCCCTGATAGGTATTCGAGAGTTTCGTGTGGTCGTGTTCAAAGCCGTTTAGCTCCATTGGATGACCTGGGCCACTCGAAATTGTGCTTGGTGATGGGAACGTATTCATAATAAACTGTTCATCACAGTCGACATGCGCCCGGCTTGCACCATCCACAAAACTAAGTCTGTGTGAGCGTGGTGGCGGGCCAGGCCCAGGGACAGGAACCATCATCTTGTCGAGGTCGTTGAATGGGCCAGGCCCCTCTTGTAGACCTGCGACCAGTGAACCAGAAGCTGAAGCTGGTGGTATGAGTGTGGGACTCCTGGTGTTGACTGGGTTAGTCACATCAACCATGTCAACCATATCCTTGATTTTGTTCTGCTGGTTCGTGTAAGGGATGTTGACACTGTTGCCAGGCGCGTTCGCATTGTTCATGGACAGCAAAACTTGTTCCAGCTGCGTTAGACGTCGAGCCATGACAGTGGTTGCGCTGTCCTTCTTCTGGGTACGAGGCCGTTGTCTAGCCACGGACGCGCATACTTCGCCATGATCAAGGCAGTTTTTGCAAGGATATCCTCCATTACCTGCTCATCCTCGTAAGTGTTTGGAGCCAAGGTTAGAGGGGAACCTCTGGAGTTTGACTTACAGCGAATTTTTTTCACTCTGCAGAAATTGCAAGCAATGGGTCTTCTTGTTCTCGCGTACATGTAGTCATTGTTATCACTGGCTTGCACGCCGTCACTACGGGATGCTGCCATTCTCGAGCGGGCAAACTTCGAGGTGAATTTGCACGACTTAGCAATGTTTCGAGAGGATCAAAGGGTCAAAAAAAAGATGGACATCCGCGGTGGCTCGAGGTGTTCAGGTATAAAGTCTGGGGTATACGTCTCCCCCCAAACCCCGCTACAGGGTAGACGAATAGGCTGAGGCATGCAGGCCTAAGACAACAAGCATTGGGTCCATGCTGCTGAGCCTAGAACGACAAGGGGCAAATGCAAATGCCTTGAGAGCTTCGTGTCTATCCGAAACCATAGGAGCCCTACCCATAAGACCCTACACGAGTCACACGGGGCATTTCGACGAGTTCTACAAAGGCATCGGACGATCGACCAATGAAGTAACGGGTCGTTTCCCAATTCGTGCGTGACCGTGGAGCAGTAGAGCAGTGGAGCACAGTCCCAACTTCCCTCACTGGCGGTCCGGCGAAACGAGGTCATATTTCGGCCCGGCCATGTTCGCCGACACCGAAGCAAGACTATAATTGGACAGCAGCTGTGGGCCCAAGGAAGGCAACATGCCCCGGACCCCGCAGTTGTTGAAATGTCACTTACTGACCACGAATGCAGACAAGTTACGGAGTACAACTCCAGCGCTTTCTTTCCATTGCAGCCCGCGAGGAGCTTGAATGACACTAGTTCTAGAGTTCAGCGCCTTAAACTACTCACCCTGTCACAGGTCACTTTTCAGATATCATTGATGCATGGACTACAGGAGTCTATTCTATGACAGTCCGACCAACAACGTCAATTTTCCTAGGCACGTTGCTTCCTTTGAGTACAGCGGGATTGCTGAGCCGTCAAGGACTTTTTCAGTTCGGCGTCGGAAAAGTCGGTCTCGGGCGGTGAATCGATTTCCCTCTATAGCACCGTGGGGTTAAGCAAGCCTTTGTTTGAGCCTTCCTAGCTTCAAGAACTAAGATTTGAGTAGAATAAAAACATTGCTTCAGCCCTCAGCCTTCAGCCTTCTGTGCTCTGCTCGATATAGAAGTCGTTCAAATGGTAAGCCACTGACAATTGTTACATGTTCTTCATCTTGAATACAAGTTCCAATTCCATTGCCTCAAATTACAATGTCGAACCTCCCTCCTCCAGAATCTGATCTTTGGCTCTTCACTCCTGAAAAAGGAGAGACATGGAAGCCGCACACGATTCACACGCACTACTTTGGATTCAGTGTCCCCGAAGCCGCTATTGGGGCATTCATCTACTTTCGCTACCAGCCTGCATTCCCCCTTTTGGCGGGCGGTGTTGCTCTGTTCCAAGGCCTGGACAACTATCGGCCCCTGGAAGTCGAGCACTTGAACTTCATGAACACGATGCCATGGCCCGAATTCGATGAAACCAATTCCTTCACCACATTCAACGGCCTGCACATGCAAGTGATTGAGCCGGGGAAGAAGTTCCATCTCTCCTATAAAAGCAAGGACGGAAGTGCCAGTTTCGACGTCATCCAGACGGCTGTCACTCCGCTGCTGCCGCGTGGCCATGTGATGCCAGGCGAGGATCGAGATGCCGAAGCCGACAAGAACCCCGGGGGCAGCGAACAGTTCATGCACTGTGTCGGAAAACTGCATCTCAACGGCAAGGATTACGATGTCGATTGTTTCCCGGTCCGCGATCGGTCGTGGAAACAGATCCGCACGGAAGAGGAGGTCGACTTCCCCCCGGCAGGATGGTCACCGATGTGCTTCGACGGACAGTTCTCCTTCTGCCAGATTGGGTGGGAGTCGCCGGACACCAATCCGCACTGGAAGGATATTTTCCCAGAACACAGCGACCCGAACAAGCCAAACTTCTACTTCGCCTGGATGGTCGATGAACAGGAATCGATCAGGAACATCGTGCGGATTCATCGCAAAGTCACGGAGTTTCATCCGAAACTGTTTGCGGCGACTAAACAAGAAATCGAGGCTGAAGACGATACGGGCAAGATCTACAAGTTTAAAGGCAAGGCCATCGCCATGGCTCATCTTCCCTCTTGGCCAAACAATATGTTCATCGATGCCGTGTACAAATGGACGGATGAGAAGGGTCGAGTCACCCATTGTGCGTATCAGGAGGCATGGTATGCAAAGTACCAACGTTTCAGCATTGGAAAATTGGCCCAAAAGGCATGAGCCTTGAGGCGTGGCAATGGAACTATATATGCCATAATACCAGATAGATAGACATGCTGTATCTAGTGTTCTCGGTTGACCTCCACTAATATTTTGGTGTGCTTGTCCTTGCCCTGAATCAGCGCCTTGAACGCCTTTTCCTCCACCTCATGAAGCCCAACTCGACCTGTAATCATCCTCTCGGGATTGAGTTGCTCTGTGCGTTTGCATTAGCATTATACATACAGACCTTGGAGGAGCATAGCATACTCGAGGCAATCGCATCAATCACGGCCTGGAAATCATCCGGAAGATAGCCAAATGTTCCCTTGTAGACCTTCTCTCGGAACAACAGACTGTTCGCATCGATTGTTGGCGGCTTCTCCCACAGAGCAACATTGACCAGAGTCCCTCGGGCTCGAAGTGCCTGAATGGCTTGGTCAAGGCAGCTCTGCACGCCGGCGGCATCGAACACGATATCTGCGCCTTGGCCATCGCAGATTTCGCGGGTTCGAGGCACGACATCTTCTTGCGTCGGGTCCAACACGTAGTGTGCCCCAAATTCCTGCGCCATGGTTTTCCTCTGACGAGATATCTCCGAAATGATGATCTTCTCACAGCCCCGGGCCCGAAGGCACTGGATGAGACCGATGCCAATAGGGCCTGCGCCCATGATCAGGACTGACTGACCTGGTTGGAACATGGCTGTGTCGATAGCATGCCATGCTACGGAGAGGGGCTCGACAAGTGCTGAGACCAAAGACCAGAGTCAGTGCTGAGTTCGGGGTCGATACGTCGGTGCAACTTGTGGACCGTGGTACTCGTACCTCCTACTGCCAGTGAGACCGAGTCTGGGAGAGTATAAGCAGCCTTGCGCTCCGTGACAATATACTCGGCCAACCCTCCTCCCCTTCCTTGATGAGCAGTAGTCAGTCAGCCAGAGCCCATAAGAGTTGAATCTTGATGCCAGCAGAATTTAGAACAGTGCAGGGCTCAGGGCGGACTTACCACTACAGCCAATAGCACCAATGGACTCACAGCAGTTCAACATGCCTTTCACACAAGCTCCACAAGTATGGTCATAGAAGGGAGGCAAGACTGCCACATTCTGGCCGACATGAATGTCGTTGACATCGGTTCCTACCTCAACCACGGTTCCACTAAATTCATGCCCGAGAATGATGGGCAGCTTCTCTCCAGTCAAAGGGTGTGGCTTGGTGGGAAAAAATGCAGGCCCGTCGAGGTATTCGTGAAGATCTGTATGGAGAACGTTCACTTGAGACTGGTATTCTGACTGGGAGTTGCCTTTCCTCAACGGGGGCTTTGAGTCTTGACCTACCTGATCCACAAATCCCAACGTAGGCCGGCCGTATCTGCATAAGGTGGTGGAGTTGTCAGCAGCACATTTGCAATATACCTAATCAAATATACATGGACAATACGGTGGGCAGAGGGCACACTTTGACTTGGTTGCTCCCGCAGATCGGGACATCGACTCGATCTAGACGGATGTCTTTTTGACCGTGATATCGGATGGCTTCCATCCGTGATATTTCGTGCAGGCGTAAGATAAGTATCAAGGGGCTGGTGGCAAGGGGTCTCTTGGCTCGACCTGGAGCCTAAACCCCTGAGATGCTCTCTCCCGTGAATGTAGTTATAGGGTACCTGGGTACCTGGCATTGGAACTCGCTCGAGACTTCAGGAGGAGAAGTCAACCTGATTCGGCCCTGAACTCGCCAATGTGATTGATCATCGCATCCTGCGGAGTTGGACAATACACCGAGAGTGGGACCTCTCTGTACTCCGGAATCCAGAAGTTCGCCTCCGGATATCTTTATTTGTACTCCGTATAAGGTGGTGAACACTGAGCCCACGTCCGGTACAACGCCATTTAGCAGGCTCTTTCTTTGCCCGTCCCGCCCGAGGAGGGCTGCATCGTAGCATGCCACATACCAAGAGAAAGACTCATATAGGTTGAGCTAGGCACAGGAAACACTCCGAACGCGTGTTGCCATTGGTTAGAGCTGCTCAATACCCTAATTCAAAGTATGGCCGACAAAGAACTCCCTGCCAGAGATGTCGAGACTTCGTTTGCAACATCAAATGCTGAGCTGTGTCTTCGAGACCATATCTTGGAAGGTGAGGAAACGGGCTGTATTGATTGCCTGCTACTGCATTTCCCGCTAGATACTATCATGGAGCTAAGACTGAGGTGGTGTGTGGGAGTTCATCCGAGGAGCTCATGAGAAGTAACTTGCGCGGTGTGCAAGCAGTGTCCGCCTGGCCGCAACAGCCTGAGAATAGTGGCCGGGTACCTGCTCTCCTGGAAGGCTTCAAAAGGCTGTTACGGTCATGGCCTCTTCTGGGTCGATCAACATTAAATGATGCCCTTGTGCATGACAATATCTGAACCCAAATCAGTACAGGCTTACACTCCAAGAAGAGCTCATTCAGAGTTTCTGCTGAAGCTGGCAACCTCCACTCTCGAGTGCTGATGACGGCCTCTTGAAGAACTCTTGTCCTTTCATAGATCCATCGTGTGACCAAAAAAGACTCTTCACGACGCCTTTCTCCTCCTCAGTGAACCGAATCTTGTAGAATACGGCAGCCTGACCGGTGTACCTGCCGCGAGCCGCAAGGACCGATCGAGGAGACAGCCAAGTAAAAATATTGTTCTCATAATGGTCGAGGACGTAGTCCTCCTGCGTCAAATTCTGGAAGTTGAGCACAAGACGATCGGACTCCACTCTGACCAGGAGCCGCAACGAACCAATGGAATCCTCATAAATACCAGTGTAGGATTCAAGAGGCAGTGGAAATGTGCCAGGCTTTCGAGAGTGATCCAGTTCAGCAGAAACCTTGCCATACCACATAAGTTCCCGTTCAACAGTCCTCTTCGTCCAGTACAGATAGTCATTCTGAATGTAAGTGGTCAGAGGCTCGTCCCATCGCAGGAGACCTTCATCAACCAGCTGTGCAATTGTCGTAGCAACGAAAGCTTTAGTAAGCGAAGCCAGAGGATAGCGCGTGCTGGAATTCGCAACAAGACGCCTATTCACGTCGGCAAAGCCGAAAGATGAGTTGAACACGACTTCTCCGTAGCTCATGACGCCGATAGACATTCCTGCCGTCCCCGAGATCTCCAGGAGGCTTTCAATCTGAGGGATCACATTGTCAAGCCTCTCGCGCAATTCCAGTGACTTAATGTCATGCACGACGAGTCGGGGCGCAGAAATGGAAATTGGGCGTCGGGCTGAAATGCTGCGCCAGTGGCTGCATAAAATAAGAGGGCCAGAGGTGCCCGCTTGTTGATGCGCCTGTAGATGCTCACAGGGTTGCAAGTAAGAAAAGTCCGTTGCGAGGGAAAGAAGGAAAGAGAAGCGCAGTCAGGCTGGTAGACGGCACGCTTCTTTCTGCCTGCGTTACTCCGAGAAATACTCTACCAACAACAAGGACTCACCCATTTGCTGTCACTTTACCGACTCCTCGTCCCCTTTCAATTCAACCCAATGTCGCAAAATGTACTTGGTTGATATCGGCACCTTTGGATTGCTTCTGTGTTTTTGCCTTCTACTACCTATCTCGCCCCTGTAAAGCTGATGATGATGGACTGGAGAAACAACATCGCTAACTCGCTTCAGGCTATTGCTTCCGTTCTCATTCACCCTTCACTTCGATCATTCGACTTCTTTTGCATTTCCTGCGGCATTATCCTCTACAGTAGCTGGAGCAACGTGGTGCCCGAGTTCAGAGCGAGGGCTCCCCATGCGCTTTCGGATTTCACCTCCCTTGAACATCAGCATCACCAGCGGCAGAAACAGCACAATTGAAAGAATGGCATAGATTCCATATGCCCATCCATACCCGACTCTCTCGGTATAATGGGGTAGGTAGAACGAAACATAGAAGGCAAACTCCATGCGACAGAAGGCCAGAACGAGCGCGACCTCCCCAGTTGCATGTTCATAGCAATCGATGGCATAGGCGAAGCTGCAACAATGTTAGCTGACTAGATCCAATATCCTAATGGCAAGGCCATTATATAGGTAAGAGTTCCATACGTGACAGTGGATACGATCTGTACCGCGAACGAGAAGATGGCAATGGCAATGCATGGAGCAATCCAATGCACTTCGTACTGCAAGGTTAGGCCAAACATTGTCAACCCTAACTACTCGGTGTTAGTTTGCTAATTTTGAACCCGCAGTCGCGAATATTTCATAGATCTTACTGGTATGAGGACTGCTCCGAACCAATATGCTTGAAGACGCTGTTCTGGATGTCGTATTCCGCCGTTCTTCCGTGCAAGGTAACGCACCATCCAGTCGGAAAACGGGCCAGCAAAGGGCTCGCCTAAGATGGTACCTACGGCCAGCGGAATTGCGACGAGTCCTTGCCCAATGGGACCAAACCCATAGATTTCCGCGAATGCCTGGTGGCCAGCGTGTCAGCAGGAACCTATCTCTCCAGCCAACTGCAAGACTTACAAATGGAAGCATGCCTAGGGACCCAAACACACAAAATCCATACATGTTTCCGTAGTAAAACCCGGGGAAAATGACGGAAGGATAGAAAAACATGCTTAATGGATGCCAGAAGCTCCGTAAGGTGAGTTTTCTTCCAGGGAACCGTATCCACCTCAGCCGTTGCAGATATGTCTTCTTCGGTGGGACGACAGCGAGATCGTGGTGGCGATCATACAGCGTCTCCGGCATGCCCACCACACACAAGACTAACAGCAGACACCAGAGGAAGAATGTAAGCCACTGCATCCATCTCCAACCTGCGTAGGTGGTCACAAATCCGTCTAGAAGTGTGCCAACATAGGCTGAGAGCCCAATGAAGATCGTCCATATGCCCATTTTCTGCCCACGTTCTTGTACCATGTCAGCAGATGGATACAACGAGAACAATCAAGGCCCACTTTACCGTGGAGGAAAAAGATATCTTTGACGGTTAAAGCTCCAATGCTAAGGGAAGCGGAGCATCCGAAGGAATTCACCACCTGCTTTGTTAGGAATGGAATATCACATTGGGGTTTGGCAATGGCATACCCGAGCACCGCAAAATGCCCCAAGGCTGTCTGCGAGAGAACATCCCAGGGCCCCGAAAGTCGCAATCACCGCCCCAGCTGTGTAAACAGGAGTGCGCCCATAGCGGTATGACAGAGGTACCCAGAACAGGCCGCCAACACCAGAAACGACTGCGTGGGCACCGACAGAGTCAAGCATCGAAGCGACTGGAGTGTTAAAGGCCTCAGCTTGCTCAATGAAGCCAGAGGCCGGAGAAGCTGCGTCAAAGGGCGTCTGGAATGCCATGAATGCGGCCAAGAGCAGCACCACATGCTTCTGAGTCCACGACCAATTCAATGGATCATTAGGATCATTGGAAGGTTTGGGAAGGATCTCGCGGTAATCTGTACCGTCCATTTCCACACTTCCCTCGCTCATAACTCGCTTCAGGTCAGGGGAAGCCTCCTTGGACCGGAGAGGGTCCTCAAGGTGCGCGGCACCAGAAGAGGGATTGGGGGTGGCAATCTGGTCTGACATTGTGTGGACGGATTGTGTTGGCATACTATCACACCACGATTCGACTGGAAATAAGGGACAAGAGTTCACAATATATGTTTGAGACCACGAGGTCTTTTCTCCAGGAAAAAAGGAACCACGGTGAGTGGGGGTATACCGGGGTTTCTGGGGAAATTGACGGCAACTCTCCCTATGGGGATTGCCATGTTATAATTCCGACACGGCTTTGGACGCAACTAAATTGAACCAGTTTGACTAGTGTTCAAATGTGTCTATCTTTGCTCGGAAAAATCGTACATCTGGACGGGATCTCTGCCGACAGAATGCATTGTTACCGGAGATGTGGCTCGCTAACGACTGCTGGTCGGCCAAAAGGCGATGTATTTGAACAGAGAAAATTAGAACTTGAGTCACCTCATCACTGCATTTACTATTACTCCTGGGTCACCACTCATGTGAGAGTCAGCCAGGTAATTTTTCACTCCAGCTCGATACTGTCTATTTCTCCAAGAATCCGGAGTCTGACCAGGCCACAGGAAACGAATACACTGTGCTTCAAGACTGCCAGTCGCAAGGCTGACAAAGCGAAATTGAAGATATGTATTTTATAAGCCTTTGAGACCTATATGTCTTCAAAACCAGGACCTTGCTCCTTCTCTTCTGCGCGCGTTGCAACTCTTTGGCCTGGTTTCGGCTGATCATAATCCCTCTTCAACAACAAGAGTGCTGCTGTTGGTTCCATTTAGTAAAATGAATGGAATTTGCAGACAGTGAGGGTCCTAGATTGGGCGAAGATTTTGGTACTATTCTCTGTACCCTGATTCTTTGTCTTTTTAGGCTCTCTCAACTCCGACTTGAAGTTTTACCTTTCAAAATTCTAGCAAATGGCTCTCGTGTAGTGTTCGAAACACATCATCCTGAGATCATTCACTCAGAAGGAAAAAACAAGGTGGCTAACCCATTGAATCTGCAGGGCGCATGCGAATCCCAGAATTCAAAGCTCCCAGATAGTTACTTCTAGCCATCGTAATGTTAGTTGGTTGATGCATATCAAATCCCCTCAGGAACGATCAAGATCGGATTTTAGAGTGATGTCTCTACAGTTTAACCGCCAGATGAATGTACACCGTACTTTCAGCGTCGGAATAATACAGCGAACTCCACGGGCTTACTACAGACCAACCAGGGTGCGACATTAACGGCAGCCTTCCCATATTTGTAGAGACGATCAATTGCAACGGCGGGGGTTGTCCGCAAATTGGATTCCTTGCCTTCAATACTCCGTCCACTACTCCATACATCGGGAATGCTACCGCACACTACGTCCTCGCTCGGACATGATTGAACTCCCGGACCGTATACACTGCCACAGTGGCACCTTCAACCGTCCGAATTGGACGATTTTCTCGCGCTCAAAAAGACAAAAGAGTGACAAAAATTAGTCGTAGCCAAGCACTTCTGGGCAAGAGGCGGCTTTCTTAGCCCTTGGCGAGTCTCAAGGAATACGAGAAGCGGGGACGTAAAACGCATTCCAAGGCAGCGGGGATGGTGTTCAGCATCTGCTCACGAGATGCGCCTCAAGTTGTCTTCTTCAAAGCTGATATCCCCGAGGCTGCTTCAGTATAGAGTACGTGGAGTAATTATGAGATGTGCATTCAAAGTCGATGAGCACAACTATACCGTTGGAGGGAAGAGAGTGGAAAATCGATAACCCGGTAGGGGGGGATATGAGAAGACTGCGATTGAATTTATATGCTGTACATAAGAAATTCTGCACCCCATCATTAGATCAGATGTGAATCCGACCATTCTAGCTTTCAAGATTGCCGCAGGTTGTTTTGCTTCTATACTTCGATTGAACCCACGATATGCATTCATCGACGTTTTACCTACACGTTTCCACGCCATCCACCTCCTGGCTCGCTATCTGTGCGGGGTCTCCGTGTGGAGGGATAACATTCCAACGGTTTAAATGGCCCTATTAAGACCGGTTTAAGCTCTGGATTGGTTTCCGTTCTCGGTCTTCGGAAAGGTTCAGGGTTGGTGGATGCTTAATGTATAGTTTGTGACTCCCTTTTACTACAGGGAAGTTAGCATAGACGGCCTGGGCACAAATATGAGTGCAGCATTGAACCTAGCACCGATGTCATCTGGTCAAAAAGCAAAAGGCGTAAGGCAAGATGGCTTGGTGCCTGTGTCGCCAACCCCTACAGTCATCAACGCAGGCCGAAGTGGCGGGGATACAGTCCAGATCGCGCGTCAAGGAGATACTATGCCCTCACCGGGTGCCCATTCATTGCTCCGAAAAAGAAAGAGAACCTTCCTGGCATGCAAGACCTGTCGGAATCGCAAACAGCGCTGTGATGGCCTGCAACCAAAATGCAGCCACTGCAAGCGACAGATGTTGGAGTGTTCATATGAGTCGGCCAGTCAAAAAGCCGAAGTTTCTCAGTTGTATACACGAAGTACTATGTGACTGGGTCTGGTGGTCTTGCTAACCACTGGATTTCCACGACAGATGCGTTCACAATCTCGTCATGCGAATCGAGAGGCTGGAAGAAGAGATAGAAGAAGAGAGGTCGCGTAGTCGAGCTACAGCAAGCAGCCCTCAGTACGACGAACGACCCACTGTTCCAATTTCCACTGTGATGGAGTCAATACCATCATGCCGGACAACACAGGACAAGGAGACCCCTCGAGACTCACCCCACTCGGTGACTAGCGACTTTGTTCAGCAGCCCTCCCTGTCAGGACAAGGATCCAACATGCATCGAACCGACGACGAAAGACCCAGAGCATTGGGCACATATCCAGAAGGATTGGAGTTGCCAACGCAAAGTTGTCTGGGCCCTTCTTGCAGCATTTCATTCCTGGAAACGCTTCTCACACAGGATCAAGACCAACAACAACAGACCAGACGAGAGCGAGCGAGAGAAGTGACATCTGCGCCGGAAGGTGTGGAAAGAGTGTCGCGGACGGCAACTTCTCGAACCTTTGCCAGCCTGAGCAGTCTCGCGGACACCTGGCCTCAGCAACACCTAGGAGACTACCTGGTCGAATGCTACATGAACTTGTGCTACCCGCAATATCCCTTTGTCCACGGGCCAACCCTTCAAAAATGCTACGAATCCATATGGACAGCCAAGGAGCCTCAGAGCAACCTGTGGATAGGAACTATCAATATTGTATTCGCCCTTGGTTGCCAATTCTCTCCAGACATCCCATCGCATTTGGCCAGGAGTTCTTCAAAAAGGTAACTTCGCTGATTGACTTTAAGGTGTATAGCTCTGGCACACTTGAGACGCTCCAGGCCCTCGTTCTCACAAGCCTGTACCTGCAGAGTTCGGTCAATCTTGAACATTCATGGAATGTGATCGGCATGGCGGTCCGACAGGCGCAAAGCCTGGGCCTGAATTTGAAGAAGACTTATAAATCTTCATGGACGTTGCTGGCGCGGGAGACACGGAAGCGAGCATGGTGGGCATGCTACCTCCTCGACAGCGTGTCGGGGATTATGTTGGGACGTCCCCAAATGATTCCTGACGACCATTCTACTTGGGTTGAAGTTCCAAGCGCTTCAGATGAGGACCTGAGGATGCACGGAGCAAAATCAGTATCTCCACATTCCCCTGCAAGCTTGGTTGATCTTGAGAGCTCGGAATCCTGGATCAATGTAAAGCCTTCAGAAGTGGCTTTCTTCATTGCCACCATCAGGCTCTGTGGATTGATGTGCGAAGTCACCAAAGCATATGACCGCCCCTTTGACCATTCGCGGGTGCTAGCCATCGACGAGAAGTTGTGTGAGTGGATTGCCAAATTCGTTCCAAATGGGAGTAGCGAGAAGATTAAGTCCAGTACCAACGAGAAGTTCTGGAGACAAAGACATGTCCTGATATCAAGGTGATCGGCCTTTTGATTTTGTAAAAGTCTTCTGCTTACCCATATTGATGTGCAGGTTTTTGAATCTCCGGATCGTGCTTCACCGACCTTGTGTCTCACAGGATGCAACAGCCGCTGTCATCACCCCGTACAATTCCATTAACGGCATGGTGGCAGCTCGACTGACCTCTATACGCATGGAGCTTTGCGTTAATGCGGCAGCAGAGCTGATTGAACATATCTCCAAGTTTTATGCCCAAGGCCTGAACAGTGCCTTGTGGTACGACTCAAATTGTATGTCGGCATTTAGCTATTCCTCTCTTGGACTCAATTTCAGCGCACGAGTATGCAAGTACTGACCAGGACCGAGTAGACCTGTTCTCAGCCAGTATAGTACTCCTTGCGCAGATGCGGCACAAACCTCACAAAACCGAGCATTACCGGCATCTCATCAGGCTGGCTGCGGATGTGATGCAGCGCATGCAACATTCGGGCAAGGCTCTGGCGGGAGAATACCTCGCCATGATGGAGAAGCTGAAGCAGCAAGTCACTACTCAAGAACCTTCTTCACAAGCCCGCAATAGCGGCCAGCACAGTGCACAGCTGGTCAACTCCGCGAATCCGCCAGGCTTGGGGCTCCTTGATGGCGGTACAGCCGAGGGAAATGCTCCTGAGGCCGAATCAGAGGCTGCGCTCGAGTCTATGCAGTTCCACACTGAAGATACTCGGAGAATGACTGCCAACGAGCCATTGGCGACAATGGGTGAGATAGATTGGAATGCGCCACTGGAGTCACTGTCCTTTCCCTGGAACTTATGGTCCGAAGTCATATCATTTAACGACGATGCTATGGCTCCTTTCGCGGGTTCAATGGGGGCCAACACCAACGCCAACGCATCCTTCGATAGCTGAGCAGTGAGCAATGGAATTTGCTCGTTCTACATGCGTACTTTATCTGAATTGAAGGGCTTACTTGCATCTGCGCTGACAATGATGTCACGATCTTCTATCAAAAGATTGGCCGTTTCGCATCCTGGTCAATTTGATCAAAAATAGTGAGCCCTGATCCGAGGTCTGTTAACATCGAAAGGCTAAGAGAAGTTAGAACCTCGTAAGGCTGCTCGGAATAAATGAATGGATCATTATTCCGTAACCTAAAGTCATAAGGAGTGGATTCTTCAGCATCCGGTTGGCCGGCCTCTCGCAGCTATTGGCCAAAGCCTAGGTGGGATTGGAGTTTTGCTATTAGGACAGTCTGATATTCAGGCACAATTGCTCAAGGTCACTGCTAAAGGGCCGTGCTGAACATGCCCCTTATGGCTTTTCATTGCCTTTGCGGAGTAGGGTTCCAAGTTGGATAGAAGGGGTTGAAACAATGACGAGGTGTATATATTTGCACTGTACTCAAAGATCATAGAAAGAGCAATATATACCATGTGAGATCATCTCCCTCTTCTCTTCAGATGTATACACACTCGCATGGTCTAGACCACTGCACAATCAACAAAAGGTGGCTCACAGCTTAGCCTTGCTCGTCTTCTGCTTAGATTTTGCTATTGGCTGATTAGCTTTGGGGTTCTAGGAATCCTTGTGGCATGCAGAAGACTGCAGGAGACTTACCGCGAAGCATTTCCATTTGTTGCTGGAACCTCTTCGTGGGAGCACCGCAACCCTGAGATACCCCGCACAAAACTGGGGAACCGCCGAGGTGGAATCAATGCCCACCAAATTATCCCTACCTATGAGCAGCGCAGCTCCGGAGATGTACTGCTGCAGCAGCTAGTCAGTCGCAGTCTTACTCACCTACAACATCCCAGCACTCAATCGCCGACCCAACTTGCAAGCTCCAGACGTTCATTCTCTTTTCCACATCTCCCCTCACTGTCTTACCTCCCCAAATTCACTATGAATATCTGGTCGAAATAGACAGAGCCTGGCTTTGACACAACTCCTGTTGAAATATTCCAGCGCAGACACCTCGCACCACCCAGCAGTGATGGTCTCCCCGAATCCTTCTGGTGCGACTGCCGTCGAACGAGGCCAAGCACCTCCCGCACGGGCTCGGGGGAAGAGATTGAAATACACGCTCCGTGCCTGGTGAGCTTACACCTGTCTGGCGAGTCGGTCACTTAGGCTCAGACAGACGCACTGACTCGCTATGGTGATCTAGCACCGAATGCCATCGCCGGAAAGTCAGGGTACGCAAAATGTTTCTCTGATATTGTGCAAGGCCTCTCTGGCCTGACTAGGTGTATACAGTGCGGTGGCACAGAGCCGTGTTATAACTGCGTTTCTGCAACAGCCAAATGTGTATACCCCTCCGAACCTCCTCGCCCACGAGGGCGTGCCCGAAAGGAGCCGCCCAAGAAGCAACCGTCAGTATCGGGTCCTGCTGAACACTGGTACGGCGAGCAGCTTAAGTTTGGCACCTCAGACCTGACGTTGGCCCAGGATAGGTCCCCCAGTCTCTTGCGAGGCACAGCCTGCCATCCCCTCGGACACGGCCGCGCTGCTGGAGCGGATTATGCGCATAGAACGTGATGTTCAAGACCTGCGAACGATTAAATACACTAGGTACGTTGTGCTACTATAGTGAGGCTTTGTCCTGCCATACAACCCACGATGCGTTTTTCATAAGTTAATCTGCCATCAGCCTCTCACCCTCGAGTCTTTCCGACGATCTTTCGACTTCCACCGAGACGGAATTTGCCGAAGAAGAGACCATTGATTGTATACACTCGGGCCATCGTGCCTACAACTCATTCGCCGTCCAGATAGAGACATTGAAGAATGCCGCATCACGATCTACGCCTGCGACGGCCCGGAGAGAGGGCCTTGTTGGGACAGCATCAAACACAAGCCCGTCCATGTCTGGTCAAAGCCACCGCACACAAAGTGGTCGAAACAGCATCAAGACATTTATATCTTCGAGTACACGCCTGAAATACCTCCTGAAGCTCTTTTTCGACGAGTATCACTTCCTCTACCCCTGCATTGATGAAGAGAGCTTCGAGGTGCAGTTACAGTGTCTTTTCGAGCACTATTCGCCGGATCAAGACTGCTTATTACTGTCCGACGGGGATCCCGAAATGTTGGTCTTTGCCGCCATGACGTGCAAGGTTCTTGCCATTGCTGAGCACATCGAAGCCGATGGTCACTCCTCGACTGACGCACATCCACCTGAGAGGATTGTTCGCGGCGAGGCGTGGAATCGAGAGAGTATAAGGCTCTTGGGTCTGTGCTCACGAACGGCGGACAAACTCATGGATACCGTGCGACTGTTCATGCTCGAAACGCTCTATATGTTGATGAAGGAGAATTTCAGAAAGGCATCCCAGGCGCTATGCAGGGCCGTGGAACTGTCGTTCTCTATGGGGCTGAATGACGAGTCTACGTGGGCTAGTTGTTCTGGCGAAGAAGCTCGATCTCGCCGCATTCTATGGTGGACGATATACTTTTTCGACCGAAGGATGGCGTACAGGCTTGGAAGGCCATATATGATTCGAGATTCCGAAGTCTCAGTTGCCGATTTCACGGCCGACATAAGAGCAATCGAAAGCGCGCGTATTCGTCTTCCAGTTGCTGGAACAGCAACAACGTCCCTTGACGGACATTGGATTCACTATCTACAGTTCAATGTCGGATGGGGCCGTCTGTTCGCGAAAGCATGGGATTCCCTTTACAGTCTGGCCAGTCCCAGGGCTGGGAGTATTGAAGAAATCGAGATCATGGAGGCCTTGTTATCAAAACTCAAGAGAACTCTACCGCCAGAGATGAAATGGAAGGATCCCATCGGCTCAAGCGGCACGGAAACTGATGTTCCCGATCGAATGGTTCGCATGAGGCTCGTGATTTACACGGTGAGTATCCAATACCACTTTCCACCCCCATTCAATCAACTCTCTTTCTACCAAAACGGCGACTTCCTGTCCAATAACCCGGCTAACAAGACCAAGAGGGCGAATCTCTTACAGATGTTGATACGGAACAATCTCCACATACGAGGTTGCGAACAAGACTGCGAACTGGATGCTTTCGGTAGCGATCGGAGGTACACAATACAAGTTTGTCACAAGCTTGCCGCGTCCACCGTGCAGGCAGTTGTGTCATACGTACGAACGCGGCGCCGTGAACGTTCATTTGGCACATATGCAACGATGTGTATCATTGAATCACTCTATTACATGCTGTCTCTGCCCTCGACCGATGACAGTATTGGGGCTTTTGATTTTGAGGCAACGAAGACCTTGTCACTGAGCCAAGCATGGGAATGTTTAAATGACCTGAGTCGTCGCCGACTGACGATTGCAACGAATGCATTGAAGGTCTTGAAAGGAATTATCGAGAGTCGATGCAGTTCTCAGCTCTCCTTACCGGAAGAGCCATCCACGGCTTCTCTGAATATGCAGAATCGTCGCTTGTCCATTGATCAGGCATTCATCAACGATGAAACATCGGAGCATGGAGACCAGGATCAGGTCACGGAATTTCATGGCATCGACTTCGCAATGGACCCTGACTTTATGCTGCCGGTGCTGCCGGGCCCAGAATTCGATGGAGAATCGCTGATGGGGACTGACATGGGAATGTGGGATACTGAGCACATGAGATATACTTGAAGAGGCATCATTTTAATGCATATTCTTTCTTCCAGACTGTACAAACCTCTGGCAATCCAATACCAGCGTCCACTTCCGTATCCCCATCCCCGATCCTAAAATCACAGTTTGGAGCCAGGAGCGCGAGGTTTCAGCCGCACATTGATTTTATTATGGTCGACCACATCGTAGACGATTTTCCCATCCTCGGACACAATCTCGCCTCGCACAAGCACCGCAGTCTGACCGATAGAAGCGACCTTACATCGGATTTTCACAGTAGTGTCTGTTCATTGAGTCTCCTACGTTAGCAGCGATTCATGGAACGTCTTCCACGGAAAAATGGGGGATGGATGGTGTAGCTCACGTCCAGGAGGTGCGCGGAGACAAGTGAGAGAAAGCGTCCGCGTCACGCCGCCAACCCATCTGCGACTTGTCAGCAACGTGTACTGTATACTGTACGACAAACTCCTGTCGTGAGTCGGGCGGGAGGGGACGTAGTGTACTTACTCCCAATACCCAGGCGCAGAGTGCGGCGCTATCGTCAACGACGTGCATTGGTCTATCTGCGTCAGTGGAATGCGAGGTAATAGGTGTCCGCAATGCCAAAAAGAGAAGGCAAAGACGAAGAGGAAGACGAAAAAAAGAAAAATAGAATGCGTACCAAGAATGAGCGTAGCTGCTCCTCCATGCAACGACCCTGGTACCGAATAACGAAAATCAGCCCCGCCGCATATAAATCAAATCGAATCAAGCCTCGCTGTCACACGCAGCAGCAGCAAAGTAAAGGTAATCGTTGCATCTCACCGCCAACATGCAGAAACTCGGGGCCTAGGAACAAGCTGAACACCACGGTCCCGTCGGCCTCGACATCTTCAACGCGCAGATTATCCATGATTGCCTTTTCGAAGCCCTGTTTTGCAAAGAGAGATTAGGTTAGGACGATTCTTTGATGTTTGAACACAAGGAGCAGAATATGTGCAGTACATGGAAATTGCGCTCTTTCATGCGCTGATGATATCTGCAGACCAGTAACCACGTTAGCTTCAGCTTCGGCTTCAATGTACCTGTGCGTGGGAGGAATCAAGGTGCTTGCAAGTGTCGCGTCTGGTCTGGTGTCGTAGGTAAAGAACATTAAAGAACATACAATTGCATCAAAGCTACGATGGCGTCTTTGGCTGCTTGTCCTGTCTTGACTGCCCGGGCCATGTTGGAACTTGGCGACGAGTATTATTTAGGTGCTCCAGGTAGGTGCCTCAGCGAAGGTCGTTGACAGAATGCGGAATACTGTTCGTTGACTGAATACGGTTTGTTTCGTTGGAGGAAATGGCGTTCGCTGGGGCAAGAGGGCGTGGTTTTTTGGATGGGAAATCGGCAGACCAGGATAGCTATATTCGAGCAACGATGTTGGATGGTAGCCCCGTCGGGCACAATATCAGATACCTAGCGATACCTGTAGCTGTGGAAGGCGATACCAGCCCTCACATGGGAACTTAGCTGTGGTCGAAGGGAATACGGGTGGGGTACAAGGTGCATGGTTCTTCTGGCGATGTTCCGAGGAACAAAACCCTTCCGAGCACGAGGCAAATGGGCATTTCGCATTTCAACAATGTATGGGGTTCGGCGTTTCGGTAAACGGCTATTGGTTGGCTTTTGGTCTTGTTGATCCTGATGTCCCACAGCCGAGCTTCGTAGAGTCCGTGCTGCGTACTGACTGTATATGTCTGTCCATCGGATATGTTCTCAGCCAGGGGGGCCGAGGTACGGAGTAAAACATACATAGCCTGACAGGAAGTTGTAACACAGGTGAAGATGTATGCTGGAACGAAGGAAGATGGCGTGGGCTGTTGATAGTCTGACAGTCTTTGGTAAGTTCTGTCCTCGAAGCATTGCGATATGTGTTAACGAGGAGATGTATAGTATTTTGTACATGTATTCTTGAGCAACATTCTGTCTCATGGAGCATAAGGCGTCAGTAGGCTACACCAACTTTCGCTCATTTAGTACCCTACGATTTCTCTATTTTCTTCATTTCTTTTTCGTTCCTCTTTTTGTACCCTTTTTGGATGTTTTTGTATTTCAGGGCACGGCTTAATTAATACAGACATTCTCGGAGGTGTTGCGCCGTATTGATCAGAGATCTGGACACGACCAGTGGTAGAAATGAATCAATGATCCTACAACCAACCACCACCAGTGACCTCAATGGTCTGTCCATCCACATAGCTCATCAACGGGCTCACAACAGCTAGGACTGCCCCGGCTGCCTCGTGGGGCGTAGCTGCCCTCTGTAGCGGGATATGAGCATATCTTTGGCCGGTTGCGCTCTTTTCGGTTGCCCCTGGAATGCCCAATGCCACGTTCGTTCCATCAGCCAAGGTGATGCTGTTGCCTTTCTCCTTCCCGGTGCTTAAGCGTGTTTGAACAGCGCCAAACGATACCCTTTTGTGTTGGCACTGTTAGTATCAACCTTTCAAGAGATATTACACGCAGGGTGGAACTCACGTATTGGCTCGAACGCCGAATTGAGGACCCCATTCCTTCATATTCCGGTCAGCAAGCATGCATCCATAGGGACAAGGTACTAATCACCTTGCATATTGTTTTTGTGAGACCGACGAGACCGGCTTTGGCCCATGCATAGTTCGCTTGGCCTCTGGTTTGTAGTATTAGACCTCACTGCGTTGAAGGAGATCTTCGCGGGCGATCACTTACGCAGAGCCATGTAGTCCACTTGCGCTGCTGATGTTGACAATACTTCTGGGTTCACCGTCTTTCACTCGGAAATACGGTGCAGCCTCGCGAATGATTCTGAAGGGCGCTGTGCCGTGAATAGCCACCATTGCGTCCCATTGTTTGTCACTCGTCTGGAGGAATTTGCAATCAGTATGGGGAACATATCAAGAATAAGGCCGTTCACCTTATGAACCACCGCATCCCATGTATAGCCCGCGTTATTTACAATGATATGAAGCTTTCCATCCCCAAACTTGGCTGCTTGCTGCACTAACTGACGGGTTGTGTCAGCGTCAGTGATATCACCAGACACAGCCAGCGCTCTTCCTGGACTCAAGGCATTAAGCTTGTCCGCCACAGCATTCGCCTTGGCTGGTGACAGTCAGCACTGGCTTGTTCAGGACGCTCAAGGGAAGTAAAGGAGTAATAGAGTAACAGCTTACCAGCATCGATGTCCGAGATGACTACTTTTGCTCCCTCATTGAAAAATAATTCTGCAATCGCAGCACCAATCCCTTGACCTGCGCCCGTGACAATGGCGGTTTGGCCGGTAAGGTAGCCTCGTGAGGGACCCAGGTGTCCAACAACCTGAGAGAGACGATTTTCTGCCATTGTTGCAAACACAGGTCGATGCTGGTCGATGCGATTAGGGGACAGTTTTCTAAGAAGTAAAATGTCCTTGGATGTTTCATGTACTGTAAACCGAAAGACTTGACGGTATCAGGGGCCTGAACTGGAACCTTTCATTCCGAGGTGCGGAGCAGTGAGCACCACGGGCGTAGGCTCTCGGCCCCGAGGTTCGCTCAAGCAGCTCCTCTCTGTATTTTGAGGGAATAATTTGAAACTCCAATACTGAATGATGGGACCTTTGCGAGAATACGTGACGGTGGAAGAGGGAACGGTGTCAGGCGCTCCCGTTTTCTGGAGGCGTGGAAAATTGAGGAAGATTGAGACATGCGGAGTACCATAGCATGATAGACTCTCGAAGCAGTCTCAAAATACCGCCTGCATTTTCACAAGCAGGGTCATCCTTTACTTATGTAGAGTTGCTTTGCTAGATTGTAGTTTAGAGAGTGCTATGTCTCTTGCTCTTGCTGAATTCACGCTTCAATCGCTTTATAAGACGGCCAACTACTAGAATCGATTCCCGCCCAGTCCGATACCTTCTTGCAAATATCCAGGAAAACATCTCCATCACTTGCAGACACTCCTAGCTGTCGGAGGACTTTCATATGAGTCAAACTCGGCGAGCCCCCGGCAGGTAACACGCAAGCCAGGACGACACACTCGTTCTCAACGGCCGTAAAAACACTTAGATCTCCCAAGAAGTAGCCGTAGACAATGTATCTCAATGTCCATTCTGGAAATAAATAGTCAGCCTTAAGTCCCGATCAATTAATAGAGTCGACGAACCTAATTCGGTGTGGTGATTAAAGCGAGAAAATATCTTGGGCTCCAGATCCTGAAAAGCCTCCTTGAACCAAGCCTGTGAGCGTTGCAACGGCAGCTCGGCGTCGTTTACAATCTTGGCTCGCCGGATCTCGCCAACTTCGTCGTCTTTCTGATCTGCGGCTTGGAGGCTGTAAGACGCCGCAATTCCACGAGGCATACCGATCAATGTCCACGATTTGATGATGACTTCGCGCAGCCGGATCGAGAGTCTCTTGCGGTATTCCTCGTCATTCTTCGCCTGTGCGAGTGCATACTGGTATAGTTCCCCGAACTTGTCACCTCGGCCAGCTGCTGCAAGTGAGGTAGCCTAAGTTATATATGTTCATGAGACTCAAAATAATAATACTCATGTCGGGCCGAAACAGGAACAGGTGAGGTGGGAGGGGCTACTTACCACGAACAAGTACCAACTATCAGCAGGGAAAGACTGTGGTATCATCTGTTGTACTTCTTGTACAAGCTCAGGAAACGACTTTTTGCTGGAGGCCGCCATGTTGTCCTGCAATGGAAATATGATTGAGAGGGCTGATACGAGGTATGGAGCAGGGAAAGAAGTTTTGGCGAGAACCGCTTACAAGGTAGAGAAACGCGGAGACGGTTTTCATGGGGGATGATCCGGTCGGAAGACAGAACTGTTCATTCCGCGCAACCTCCGCGCTTATAGCCCCCGAGCACTGAAGCCTTACATTTATATTTTTCAACTGCTCGGACATCTATTGAAGGTTGAAGAATCGTTATAATAACACCGACAGTTCCTTTTATACAGCCGGCCTGATGGTTTTCGGCAACCCGCTCAATGTTCCCATCTCAACCCAGGATGTTGTGTCTTTCGTGCTGGGGAATCCGAAGTACGATGTCGACAAGCCAGTGAGTGACCAGCCTGTGTCACCTTGAATCCATGAATCCTAGAGAGCAATCGGGCTGATTTTACGATTCTCCTCAACCTGAGTAGATCTACATCGACTCGCTAGACCAATCGCGATGGTACTCTGTGCGAAAGGCCCGAAACAGCATCCGACGACTCGTGGCAGGTTTCCATGACTTAGGATTAAAGAAGGGTGACTGTGTGCTCATCAACTCAATGGCCGATGTAAGTGTGGCACTTGAGAATGCTTTATGGCAATATACTGAGGGCTAGGTCGACTATTCAATTCTCTTTCTCGGAGTCATCGCCGCAAGAGGAATCGTCTGCGGGTCGAATCCATACTACACAGAAACCGAATCGGTGCATCAGTTGAAGAGAGTCCGGCCCAGATTTATCTTCACAGAGGCCGAGTTCGTGAAGAAGATGCAATCGTGCGCGGCGAAATGTGGAATCGACCACACGAGTATTTTCATTTTCGACCACAGAAATCCCACCATCCCTGAAGGCTTTCGGTCATGGAGGCAGCTTCTGGAATGTGGAGAGAAGGATTGGGTCCAGTTCACAGATGACAAGGCTTCCCAGCGTACGGTTGCTGCCTATGTGATGAGCAGTGGTACAACCGGTCTTCCTAAAGCTGTGGTTCTATCTCACCATAACATGGTGGCTGCTGTATCTCTTGCCTATGATCGAGAGAGGAAAGATTTTGAGGTAAGCAGCGAAAGAGAGTCCAAATGCTTCTCACATCAGACTTTTACTTACAAGGCGGCATCCAGGTTCGGCGAATACTGTGTCTGCCTCAATTTGCCACGGCCGCCATTTATTCCAATCACTTCTGTCCTCTGCGTCATGGAGAAGTCTGCTTTGTGATGCGTCGATTTGACACTACGGCATTCCTGCAGAACATTTCGAAATTCAGCATCACCGAAGTCAGTGTCTTGCCTCCAATGCTGGTGCAAGTTCTTCGTAGTCCGCTTGCAACAAAAGAGACGCTGAAGAGTCTACGATATGTTCACGGTGGAGGTGCTGCCATGCCCAAAACTCTAGTGGACAGGTTGAAACTCTTGCTCCCCAGGGACACACCTTGCACTCCTATCTGGGGGCTCTCTGAGGCTTCTGGGATTGGGACATGCTTTTTTTGGCCTGAGCATGATGAGACGGCCAGTATTGGAAGGCTTTTGGTTGGGATATCTGCCAAGTAAGCACTTTGCCGAGATAGAACTTGAATGATGCTAATACCAATGACTCAGGCTGCTTGACGAGGAAGGAAATGATGTGAGCGGTTACAACGTCAGAGGAGAGCTCTGTCTCAAAGGCCCAACAGTCATGATGGGATACCTTAACGACCCCGCGTCGACGAACTCAACAATCGACTCGGAAGGTTGGTTGAGAACAGGAGATATCTGTTATTGCGATGCGCAAACCAAGAAATGGTATATTGTCGACCGTATCAAGGTATACAGATCCAAAGAACTTGTGACAACATTGCAGACCAGCTAACCTTTACCTGCAGGACTTGATCAAAGTCAACGCATTCCAGGTTGCACCAGCAGAACTCGAAGAAATCCTACTTCAACACCCTGGCATTGCTGATGCAGCCGTGATTGGCATCTACAACTCTGAAGCCGCAACAGAATATCCACTGGCATACGTAGTCACACGTGACACCGCTGGAGGAACTGCCCTGACCGAAGACATGGTGAAAGAATTCGTTGCTTCGAAAGTGGTCAAATACAAGCGTCTTGAAGGTGGCGTGAAGTTTGTGGATAGTATACCAAAAGCCCCCAGCGGAAAGATCCTCAAAAACCCACTTCGGGACTTGGCGAGAAGGGAAAAGGAAGGTAGTGCCAGGCTATGACAGTAACACCGACGAAAGAAGTCTATGCTGGAGTAGTGGACAGTAGACAGTGGACGGGATGGAATACGTAGCTACTTAGATCTCTCTGAGCACCTCGGAATAAATAAATATACTCGGTTTCTCGGGGCGAATCGATCCTTCAATCGCTCTTTGGAACCTCCAAACGGCAAATCACAATGCGGAATTATGGAACCCAGCACAAGATCATCATTTCATCTGAACAGTTAAAAGAACTATCACTTGGCACATACAGTCATTAGTTCATCCCTTACCAAGCAAACGTTATTCTCCTTCCCCTCCCCCTTTCCAATATCAGCATCCATATCTTCAACAATGTCGCCGTCAGCCGTTAACGAGACCGCAGCTCAACAGGCAGTTAAATACATCCAGGCCCTAGCGGATAAATTCCCAGAGCCTTGTGGAGCGACCGAAGCCTGGCGCGATGTCGACGATGTCGCATATGCGCTGTCTCAGGTGTCTCTGTTTACCCCGAGACCTATTAAGATCGTCGCGATAGGTGCTGGTATTGGCGGATTGGCGATTGCTCATGCGGTGGAATCTGGTAAGCTTCCCGGAGCTGAGTTGACTATTTATGAGAAGGATTCTGGGATTGGAGGGACTTGGTTTGAGAATAGATATCCGGGGTAGGTTTATCTTGTTTAATTGCGAGCATTCCATTCTTACGTTTCTCCACTTTTTTGAATGTTTGATTACTGACACTGGACAAGGTGCGCCTGTGATATTCCTGCTCATAACTATCAGGTGAGTGCCTAGAATATCACTCGATTCCAGGAAGTTCTTTGCAATCTTCAGGGGCAATGAATTGATGCGTCACCAATGTTCCTTCGAGGCACCCGGCTCGTGTACTGACGAAAATCATAGTTTTCTTGGGCTCCTAATCCATACTGGAAAGCTTTCTATGCCGACCGGAGCGATATTTACAACTACGTCCAGGGTGTTGCTGAGCAGAACAACTTGAACCAATACATCCAACTGTGCCACAAAGTCACCAAAGCTGAGTGGAATGAAGAGAAACAGAAATGGCAAGTCACAGTACGGAAAATGGACGGTCGCGATATCGCCGTTTCCAGCCCTGGAATCACTGAAGGAGAAATCGAGGAAACAATCAATACCGAATGTGACATTTTGATCAACGCCACTGGATTCTTCAACAACTGGAAGTGGCCTGCAATTCCGGATCGAGAAAGCTTCAAGGGCCAACTGCTTCACTCTGCTGCTTGGTCCAAAGACGCTGAGAAGAGTCTCGACGGCAAGACCGTGGCATTGATCGGAAATGGCAGCAGTGGCATTCAAATCCTACCCGCCATCATCGACCGCGTGAGTAAAATCTATGTGCACGTTCGCAGTGCGACCTGGGTCACGACGGGCCTTGCGGAGAAATTCGCCGGACCAAACGGTAGTAACCTCGTATTCAGCGAGGAGCAAAAAAGAAAATGGGCAGAGAACCCAGAAGAGTACCTTGAATACCGCAAGGAGGTGGAGAATTCAATGAGTTCGAGGTTTCGTCTGTATATGGCTGGCTCGAAGATCCAAGAAGCAGCACGCAAGTTTTCGACAGAGTCAATGACAAATAAACTGACGGCGGGAGGGAAACCTGAGCTTGCAAAGCTTCTCTTGCCAACGTTTGAAGTCGGGTGAGTCCAGTTTACTCTTAATATCCACGACTTCCGTCCTAATTGATGTATAGTTGCCGACGCCCAACCCCAGGAAATGGATACCTCGAAGCTCTCTGCTCCGACAAATGCGAGGTCGTTTGGGGCGAAGTCGCTGCCTTTACTCCAGATGGACTACGCACTGCCAGCGGCGCAGTGTCCAAAGTCGACGCGATCATTTGCGCCACAGGCTTCGACCTCTCCTGCGTCCCAAGATTCCCCATCATCGGGAGAAATAAAATCAATCTGCAAGATGCCTGGAGAACCAATCCAGAGTCATATCTGTCAGTGACAGCAGCAGACATGCCGAACTATTTCACCATTCTCGGCCCAGCCAGTCCCCTTGGCCACGGCAGTCTTGTCCCTTCAATCGAGTTCGTGACGTCCTACATATGCGACATTATTCGCAAACTCCAGACGCAGAATTATTCGTCCGTATGCCCTAAGGCGCACATCCCAAGAGCTTACCAGAAACAAGCGCTGGCTTGGCTTGAGCGCACTGTCTGGGCATCAGACTGTGCCAGCACGTTTAAAAACGGAACTGTCGACGGAAAGCTCGTTTCTCTACACCCTGGGTCCAGATTACATATGTTCGAGTTATTGAGTACTCCTCGATACGAGGATTTCGATTGGACAAGTCTTAGTCCAGATGAGGATCTTGCTTTTGCGTGGCTTGGAAATGGATTCACCATTGACGAGGATGATGCGTATTATAAAGGGGGTCAAGCTGACTTGACGTGAGTTACACGCTGCTACTCCTCCGTACTCTCACTAATCGTGTTCTTCACAGGTATTTCTTGAATCCCCCTCCTGGATCGAAGAACGTATTGCCAAAGGAACAACTCAATGGCCATGCGTAGGAGTGTATTTAGACTGTGCGAGAGGAGTAAATAAGCGAATAAAGTACAGTTGTGCCCGTAATGCGACCAGAACTCTGTCTGTAGTGCTTATTGTTCAGATATTGAATGTATTCAGCCTCGGCTCCGATATCAGAAAATAAGATATCTGAGTAGCTGTGAAATACGCGGAAGAATCGGCTATTTTATTCCGCCCGAATCTAGTCCAGGACCGTTGAGGTCCTGGGGCTCAAGAGTCAAGCTGCCATATTTATATACTTCCAATGTTCCGGCCTGTCGGGACAATTCTAACTTATACTTACATTGACCATATCAATTGCCCACATTGCACAACAAACGATGGGCCTCGAACCGTGGCTGGGACATCAATTCCCAGCAAAACATGTGGCATGGCAAAAACGCGATGTGCTCCTCTTCGCCAATTCTATCGGTGTGAAAGCTGCCGACATTCACTTTCTATATGCAAGTTCTATGCCATGCTATGCCGTGTCCTCATTATGTCTAAGTGGCTAACATGATTCCTAGGAACTCCATCCAAATTTCCAAGTATTTCCGTCATTTTCAACTGTGCTATGTAAGTGAAACACTAAATTTATACCTCAATCGAAATTCCTTGCCTCTGCATATTCATGGTCCACTGATTCTCAAAATTGAAAAAATGCAGCCCAAAAAGGAGAAAACAACGAACTCGTCGATTTCTATGCCAACTTCGACAAGAACAGTTCAGGCGCACCGATCCCAGGCGTCCCCAAGCTCGACGTCACGCGCATGGTCGACGGGGGAAAGGGCATCTCCTTTTTCAAACCATTGCCTCCTACCTCTGTGGGCCGCCATTTCGAGCAGCGCATGAAAGTCATTGGCGTTTATGACAAGGGCAAAGCGGGGGCGATTGTGCAGACGCAGACTGATATGGTCGATACGGAGACGAATGAGGTTTATACGAGGGTTATTGGGAATAACTTTTACGTTGGGCAAGGGGGGTGGGGTGGTCCTAAGGGTGAGAAAGATATCCTTTTCTTCTTGTCGACTTCTGACTTCGATATTCAATGCAATATACCCCCGACGAGAGCAAGCTGACTCGACACGCATCCTAGGCTCATCGCCCGTATATGCACCGCCTAAACGGGACCCCGACTTATCCTATCCGCTGATCACCACCGAGGAGACAGCATTACTATACAGGTCCGTTCCCCCTATGCTATGCTATACCATCCCAATCTTCGTCTCCCTTCTCCTTCTCCTTCTCCTTCTCCTTCTCCTTCTCCTCCTCCTCCGCCTCCTCCACGGCAGCACTTACAAGTTATGTACTCGTCCAGACTAAACGGCGACACAAACCCTCTCCACGCAGTCCCCGAGCCAGGCCGCAAAATGGGCTTCAAAGGCGTCATCATCCACGGGTTATGGACATACAACGCGACACTCTACGCCGTTCTGAAAGTCGCGGGGAACAGCCAGGCAGAGAATATCAAGAGCTTCGAGGCCAAGTTCGCGAGTCCGTTGAATCCGGGCGACACGGCGACGGTGCAGGTGTGGAGGCTTGGAATATGCGATGAAGACGGGTTTGGAGAGGTGAGGTTCGTGGTGAGGAATGAGAGGGGGAGGGATGTTCTCACGAATGGAAGGGCTTTTGTTAGGGGGAATGGGGGTGGGGGATATAAGTTGTAGTCTTATAGAACAATCTTACAGTGTGCACTCATATAGTCCTCATGCTATCCTTTAAGTCTCCAGGATTTTCTATCAATGTCACCTTTTGACTAGACATTGTCTGAGGTCTCTCTGGAATAGATCGAAGACATGGTCGGCCCGGATTGTGGCTGATCGAAGCTGTGGCGCAGTCTATTCGATTTCGGACCCGAGTCCAAGAACTGAGGTGCTGAGGTACGTACCTCAACTCTTGCCTTTCTTCCCATCAATCTCGTCCCGCAACGGTCCCAGTGCCAGTCCTAATCCGCGGAATAATTAGTGGTACGTACATATAAGAAAACCAGGAGACTATCCCCGTCGTAGTAATGATTCCTCGGAATATTTCCTGGGTGCCTCAGAGTCACATCGGAGCCTCGGAGCCACGTGATGACACACTCGACTCGAGATGTACCGACAAGTAAGCAAGTTGCGTGGTTGTTTTGCGGAGACACGACCGAGGTTCGGACATTGAGGAGATAATCCAGCTGATCCTTTCTGTCAGTCCAAGGCTATTGGGAATTCTTTTGAGGCCGATGAGAATGAATTACGATGATCTTGATAGTGGCGAGTGAGAAAAAAGACTGAGCTGACTTGACTTGGAAGTTGTCGTCAATACGATTCGCATCGTCAAGAACCTCATACAGGAAACATTATCCAAGAACAAGGACAAGATCCAGATCCAGATCTAAAACTAAACGGATCTTTTTTTGTTTCGCTCAAGATGAGTTCTCGACGTAAGTAGCTCCCCACGTTGAATCTTTGGCGCTTTGAATCTTTTCAGCCTTGGAACTTTGGACCTTTGCACCCCCATCATGAACCAATCTACTAAAACACACAAATGCAGAGAAAATCCGCACTGGGCTGACGGACCTGTTCGGCGTGAAGCACCCCGTAATGCTCGCCGGCATGGGCGTCGCCGCAGGTCCGCGATTAGCAGCGGCAGTCACCAACGCCGGCGGGATCGGAGTAATCGGCGGCCACGGGTACAATCCAGACGGACTACGCGAGCAGATCGACGAGTTGAAAGCGCACCTGGTCGACAAAGACGCGCCGTTTGGGGTGGATATTTTGTTGCCTCAGGTCGGTGGGAATGCGAGGAAGACGAAGTAAGTACCAAGTACCCGCAACAAACCTGGATTGATGATGTTTCTGAATGTTTTTGGAGGGGGAGGTATGCTAGAAGTGTGGACTACATGGTTAACATGAATGAAACAATAGCTACGACTACACGGCAGGCAAGTTAATGGAACTCATCGACGTGGTAGTCCAGTCCAAAGCCCGTGTCTTCGTCTCTGCGATCGGCGTCCCCCCCAGAGCAGCCGTGGACCGCCTACACGCCGGGGGAGTGCTGTACATGAACATGATCGGCCACCCCAAGCACGTCCAAAAATGTCTGGATCTAGATGTCGATATCTTGTGCGCCCAGGGAGGCGAAGCCGGTGGACATACAAGCGACATTCCATTCTCCGTCTTGATCCCAGCCGCGGCGAAATTGCTCAAGGGCAAGAAGAGCAAAATGACCGGTATGAATGTTCAGCTTGTCGCGGCGGGAGGTGTGTCCAGTGGTGAGAGCTTAGCTGCTGCTCTGATGCTCGGGGCGTCTGGTGTCTGGGTTGGGACACGGTTCATTGTCGCCCATGAAGCTGGGGCGTCGAAGGCTCATCAAGAGGCCGTGTTGAGTGCAACGCATGATGATACCATGAGGAGTGTCATATTTTCGGTATGTTTTCTTTTTCTTCCTGAACATCCCAGAGGCCGATTTAAATTTAACAACAAACTCAGGGCCGCCCGTTGCGGATACGCAAAACTCCATACATCCTCAACTGGGAAGAGAAGCGACAGGACGAAATCAAGGCGTTAACTGCAAACGGGATCCTCCCCGTTCAACATGACGCCGAGCAGCATCCCGACGACGAAGATATTCTGGATAATATCCACCCGTTCCTTATGGGCATTGTGGCGGGCGAAGTGAATCACAGAAGCAGCGCGAGGGAGATTGTGGATGAGCTCGTGGACGGCGCGGCTGAAAGGCTGCGGCTGGGAAGTGTGTCGCTTGTCAATGAGTCGAAGCTATAAGGTGGAGGATTCGGAGTGATCAATATCTAAAGGGCTGAACGTGTGTTCCATGGACTGGACTCAGCATTTAGAGAAGTCAAATTGTCCCGTGAGGATATGATATATCACATCGAACCATTCATAGAAGCCTTTCTGCATGGTCTGTATCTATTTCAAAATCCTTCAGGCTTCCTGCTACGAGAATAAGCTGAGCGTACGTGTACGTGTTTGATGAAGTATGCACCTCTATGAGAGAGCCTTCTGAGCCAATATAGAGTCGAGCTATGACTCCACGACTTCACTATCTAACATCCGCTCGTATCTACCGCACAGCCTCAACCTCAACCTCAACCTTTCCCTTCCCCTTCAAATTAAAATCACTCAACCACTGATTAATCCACTCTGCCCTTACCGGCCCGACCTTCCTCAACGTAGGGCTACTCTTCTGAGTCACTTCAGTCTGGTACTTCGGTCCCTCCCCTAAACTCTCATCCCGTCTCAATTGCAGGCTTTGGTAGAACGGTACAATCTTGGCCGCTGGGTTTGCTGCTGCGTTGCTACCCGCGTCAAGGTCGGCGGTCGAACCTATGAGCTCAGTCCACTGCGCCAATGGCACGACTTTGTCGATTCCAAGGAACTGTTGCACGACTGGTAGGATGTCTTGTTGCCAGCTGACGGCTTCTGGGTTGATGAGATGGTACACGCGCGAAGTCGAGAGGGTGTTACTCTCTTCCTCTGAATGGCGTTGGCGTTCGATCTCCTCGTTGTCCGATTGTAACAGTTCGATGATGACGCTGGCCAATACATTCACGGGGATCCAGTCGATTGTTTCCATGCGCCCCAAAGTATCAGGCAGAGCTTGGATGGTGTTCGAGCTGATGATTAGACTTGGGAACCATTCTTGCAGATTCCAGACCTCCAACTTGGCTTTGTCCCCTGCTGTATCAGGCGTCGGCACCGGTCCAGCGATCTGGCCAACACGCAAGCTTGTCGTGGGCACTCGTCCGCGGGAGGATGCCGTCGCCGTATCGAGGATACGCTCTGCAATGTACTTGGACTCACCGTAGCCCATGTGCGCCGGCATGGAGTGGTCCTTGATGATCTTCTCCGGAACAGTCTGCTTGAGCGCTCCAGATGTGACCGACGAAAGACTCGACACAAAGACAATATGTGCGCCCTTGGAAGAACGTGCGCTGAAGTCTGCAAATTTCCGAATGCTGGCAATGTGGTTCTTCTCAAACGATGCGACTGACAGGTTGAAATTCACTGGCCAGGCGTTCAGAATCACATGTGTCACGGACTCGAGGAGCTCCTGGTACGACTTCTCTTCGAGGCCAAGGTACGACGCTCCCAGGTTTGTTGTTTGGAAGAATTGGACACGTCCAGGCTCGGCCACTTCGCCGGTGAGATTTCGATTCAGAATCGTCTTCTTCCATTTTGCAGCTGCTTCGGCGGACCGGTTCAAGCAGATAACCTTGGACACTGAGGGATGACGGAGAAGGCCTTCGAGGATGTGTGATCCCAGTGATCCAGTAGAGCCCGTCAAGATGATGGTCCAGGGTTTCGTCCCAACAATACCATTGGTCTCAATTGTGGTGTTCTTCGAGCCATTGGTAAGAGTCAAGGCCTGGGAGTCCAAGCCGTGTGTCCATCTCTCAATAATCTCTTGAAGCCTGGTCTCGCGATAGTGATTTTCGGTACCATTTTGGCCGTTTTGTAAACCATTCTCGCCATTCACAGTGTGAGCTAGAAGCAAGTCGTTCAGTGCTTGCGCCAACGAGTCGATTGTCGGGTTGTTGTAGATGGTCTTTGAAGTCAAGTCGGCGATTTGACTGAGATTCATAGAATCCTTCACCGCGGCCTTTATGGCTCGAACAAGGCGGACAACGTGGAGCGAGTCCATTCCCAGCATGAACAGATCAGTGTCCTGGGAAAGATTGTTCGTCCATCCCGTTACATTCCCCACAAGATGCTGAACAAATTTTTGAATTGAGCTGAGATCATGGAGGTTGGTATCCTCGGGAACATCGCTGCGGTCGACGTTGTCCACGTCTCCCTCGACTCGGCGATACAATTCTTCAATCTCTTCGCTGTAGAGATCGGCTGTTGGCTTTCTCCTAACGCTGAGTTTCGGGGTACGAAGGAAGGGTTTGCTTGGTGACGAAAAGAGGATCAAGGATTTCGTCAATTGTCCGTGCTTGGGAGAAGTCTTGTTTGTGACTTCGACTGTGGGCCAAATGGCCTGGAGAAGATCCCGTTTCTCGTCTTCTTTATCGACATCGATGCCATTTACTTCCAGGAGGAGAGCCGGCTGGAATCGCCCTTGTCCGACGACCAAAGCACCAGTGATGGCGGAATGTGCCTTTGCAATGTGTGACTCGGTGTCGACTGGATTCAACTTTTCGCCGTTGGACAATACAATCACATCATCAGCTCGACCACGGGTGCGCCATAGGTACGGCTTCTCAGGGTGCTGCACGTATAGGTCTCTTGTTGGCCACTCAGTGAGGTGAGGAAATAGCTCAAAGACAGGCTGGAGGCCAGGAACATTCTCGTCGATCTTCTTGATGAAAAGCTCGCAGAGGGTACCGGAGTCGTCAACAGGCCTCATATCGATTCCACTCCAGCTGTGGAAATGGAAATACTGCCACTCTGGCTCTGGATCCTCCAGTTCCAGCAGAGGAAGAAGACCAACTTCAGTAGTACCAATAAAATGAGGACAGCTCTTTTGGCGTGTAAGGAGAGTATCACCACAGTACTTGCTTAGTGGCCCAGAGCCGAATTGCACGAATTTAAGACTAGCGAGCGTATCGAAACACTCCGGAACACCGAGCATCTCCTCGACGAGAAATGGAGGTATGACTGTTCCATCACACTTTCCGTCGCGGAGAATGCCATTGACGACTGAGGCACTCAATGGAACTGCTGGAGGTTGGAACACCATCACCATGTCGTGATAAAGGGACTTCAAGAGACCCAGCAAGACTCCGCCCGCCTGTGATGAATCAAATCGTTAGCCAAAGTGATCCTCTACCCTGGAAAGAGGAGATGGAAGTGAAAGTCTGTCTGAGGATGTGGCTCTCAAATGTCAAGGGGAGACTTTACATGAAAAAGGGGCATGGCCAGGAATAATCGACAGTCGCCGTAGAAAGGCTTGCGGGTGAGAACATCCAACCCGCCCTCTTCCGGATAATGCAGGATCACGTCTTCTTGGAAGCCATATCCCTGGGTGAGAGGGATCAACTTGGGTAAGCCGGTCGTGCTACCTCATGAATCAGCCACTCATCAACGACAATGGCAACTCAAAGACTTTTCAGCCGGGATGAGGACACATACCTTGATGTATGAAGCATGACCAAAGGGTCCCATCTCGCTTCCTCCAGCGTCTTAGTATACGGGAATGACTGAGTCGGCTCGTCTTTCAACAGCTCAACTTGTCCCGGAACAACGCTCAATGTGTCGTTCCAGCTCTCTGTCTGGGAGCCATTCGGATCAAGGGCTTTGGGTGGCCTATTTTGCACCAGAGCCTCCACCTTGGGCTTCATCTCAGCAGCACAAAGCCACTTGCGACAATCTGCCTCCTTCATGACGGCATATTGTGCCTCATCACTATTCCTGGGCGAGAGGTATAACATCTTGTGCCGGTCAGTATGGGTACATCTTTGCTGTAAAGTTGGCCTTCTCCCTGGTTCAACTTACCTGAAACCCAGCCTTGATAGCAGCAAGACTGAAAACAATATATCTGGTGTCAGGAGGTCCAAGGTATGCTAGGGGCTCGAAGGGTCGAAGCCTTTTTGGCTCGAGGGTACTTTGCATCCAGTATGCTGCCCTGTCAATGGCATAGTTAAAGCGCCGGTATGATATGTCTTCATACCCATCGCTAGTGGTTTGAGGACTGGTCGGTATAGCACCCCAGATCTTGTTTGGCTCAGTCAACGCCCGTTCGGCGACAAGATTTGGTAAAAGCCTTGGCAATGGAATAGAACCAACTTGTGATTCGATTCTCGACGCGGGAAAAGCTTCTTTTGCCATCTTGCTGATATTCTCAGTGGTGTGAGATTTAGGGTGGATCTCAGTCAGATCAGGAGCCACAGCCTGTTCAGCCAAATGTAATAAGAATATCAACTTACTATACGATTCGGTAGCTCCAGAGTCAGACTAGACCCCAGAACCAAGATATACGGTAGACCGTAGTGCTCATACAAGTTCATTGTGCCGAACAGCTTTTCCGAATCAATTTTCCGATGATGCTGTACCAATTATTGCTGAAAACCTACAGATTAGCTTCCGCTATGCATTTTCGGAATCTTGATAGAGAGTACTGCTTCCAGGTATTGTTTGACATCCGTTACATGTTTGTTGTGAAAATAGCAAGACCGTTAATTGTAATGGTTGTGGTAGTGACTGCCTGGGGATTTGAGCTACTATTTCGTGGGGATGGTGCTGGCCTATGATCGGCATCGGCAGAGTCGCCCTGGTTTCGTGACATTGTTGGAAAGAGACTCTGTCATCCTGGATTGAAAGTAACATTGATCTGGGAAGGTGGTTTAGTCTTCCGTATTGAACATATTGGTCTAGTCTCATCTTAACAAGCTATTCAAAGACACTGTAAGGAGAAGGGCAACTTGAAAACATCTCGCTGGTAGTCGTGGATACTCGGCAACAGAGTCTTGCCTTGTGCTCGCTTGTACATGCCTTGAGCCATGAAGGGTTTCTACGTGCCCCAATAAAATATCCTTCCAAGATACTAGTAAGCTGCTGTCCTACCACCGTCAACTGTAATAGAGGACGCAGTGATATGACTAGACATTGAGCTTGCCAGGAAGATACACGTGTCTGCCACCTCTTCCGCCTGCGCGAGTCTGCCCAACGGAGTATTGTACATATTGGCAGGTGCCCATATCTCTGAATTTGTCGGAGGTGCTTCTTGTTCCCGATGTTGGAGCATCTTTCGTCTCGCCGTAATCATGGGTGTCTCGACCAAGCCGGGGCAGACGGCATTGACACGTACCAAGTCTTTGGCGTGGTCAATCCCAGCGGCCTTGGTGATTCCCATGACTGTGTGCTTGGATGCCACATATGGGAAAAGATCTGGTATGACATTCGCACCACAAGTCGATGCGATGTTCACTATACTCCCTCTCTGGGCGCGAAGAGGATTGTAAGAATCAATAGTGACCTGGGGATCCTGTTTCAGCATTGCTTGGATCTCAAACTGTGTGCATAATGTGAGACCTCGGGCGTTGATTGCTTGGATATTGTCGTACTCCTCCATTGGATAGTGTGCGGTCGCAACGCGGGCAGTGCAAGTTATCTTTACTTTGGTAAGCTGGAAACCTCTGCTAAGAAAGAAAAGATGTACAAACACCTGCAACGTTAAAAGCTGCGAGACATCCGTTAGTCGGCCATGATGCAACAACATAAATCTTCATCAACGTTTCGCAAACATAGAAGATGATGTACTTACCATAGTCAAGTCTCCCGAATGTTTCCACAGTTTTCTGTACCATAGTTTTTACGGCTTTGATGTCGCTAACATCCACCCCCAAAGTGAGAATGTTGACCTGATTGCTGACTTCTTTGACAAGACGTTCTGTCTGTTGCGCCTCCTCTAAGTTTCTATCAGCAATGGCAAGTGCTCGACATCCCCCCGCCGCACACGCGAGTGCGACGGCTCGCCCAATGCCAGATCCTAGAAGGCTCAGCAACGTCAAATATATCTGCCCGTCGAACACTAATCTCACCTCCCCCGGTAACAAGTGCAGAACCGTTCAGCAACATTTTCAACAGGTGGATCGTTATGTTAAATTCTTGATCAATTATATTCGGATATTGATTTCAAGCAAGAAGATCAATAACACATACAGACCCTGGCTGATGGCTGATGGTTCACAGAATGGAAGATCAACAGGCCAATAGAAATATGTATTTCAACTATTGGTGGCATCTTTTCCGACGGTTTCGGTTTCGTTCCCGCGGAGGGGGTAAAGTGCTTGTGCGCCACGGTCCGACCACGGTCCGATGAATGTCGTCAAACTTCGTTTGTGGTCAATGGAGATACTAGAAACACAGAATATATTTCTGAACATCATATTTGTCTCATACAACACATCAAAGGATACTTCACTAGACTTCTCCAGCATTATAGCAAGTCCGAGTTGTTTTTCTCATTTTCTCATTTAACGAATTATGTAAATCAGTCACGTGAGTGCGTAGATTTGCTGGGAGGACATATACTCTGCTATGTACCGCAGGCACTTGTAGGATCGAAGTTGGTTCGTCTCCTTCACGAGCAGCAAGAGAGAACAAAGGCGTGAACCATTATGACGAAGTTCTCGACAACACTAGTCGATGCATTCGAGAGGTACGTTTGGAAGGTTTCCCAGAAAGGTTAGCCCTACTTGGCTACGACGAGAATATAACCTCTCTTTCAATCTAGGTCTTTCGTGTCCTCAAATCCGACGGCACTTTTCTGTACGTCACATACCGACAACCTCACTTTATGGGACCTCTTCTCAACTGTGAAGGAGTGGATTGGGATGTCCAAGTGGACATACTTGGTGGCTTCGAGAGCTCCTTCGATTACTACGGGTTTGTACTGAAGAAAGTGACACCATCAGCAGCAAAGTCAACGGAAGGCGAGACAGAGAAGGGAAGTTCGAGCTGATCCTTGGCGTCACAATCACGGTCTTGATGATACAGCTTCCCGAGTCCAGGTTGAGTATCGGAGGCTTAAAAATGTTGAAGGAAACAATGCGAAGCTCCAGGAAGAGAATACTCTAAGTTCCGGGCATGCGAAACCGATGTCGTATCCTCGCAGCCTACAGAAATTATCAATCAACGATAAGTTGAGCCACTACCACTGACTAGGGAAACTTGCGACGTTGCTTGGGTGGCTCGAGCCCTGATGAAGCATCGACTTGAGCATAGCCTTCTACCATCCTGCGATGCGAAGCTGAAGCTTCACTGTTCACCGGCTACAGCCTGCCATCACATTGGACCTCGATGGTTTGCGACTGGGCCCAGTCAGAAAAGACATCTCGCAGGATCAACTCCTTCAAGGATCGATGCACAAGTCGAACCTGTCGTTTCTTGTCGTCCTCAAAGTCAACCAGAACAAGAAAGGCTGCAGCAGGGTTAAGGCTCTCGTTCCACCCACACCGGCTTGGAGCTGCACCAGGCTCCGGATGTCTGTGAGCGGATCGTCCAATGATACAGCCCATCCGAACTCCGGTATGCTCAGGGATCTTTGAGCCACTGCTAGAATCTGAAGTGCTCTCGTGGCGATCTGCGCATTAGCAGGATCGTTTTCAGTTGCCTGAGCAAACAATTTGGCGTAAACTTGCGAGAGCGCTGCTAGAGAAGAGGTCTCAGCCAAGGCCAGAAGTCCTTTGCAATCAGAGTAGGTATGATTGCTATTTAACCAGCTATGTTGGAGGACTTGAGATGGTCACTGGACCTTTTGATATTAGTAGTATATAACCCCAATATCAAGAATTGTCTTAGAAGATCAAGTGAGGTAACATTCGTGATTGGTGCGGTCTCTTTATCTTCATTCATCACGCCAGAATGAACCTCATTGACCAAACAGCCAAGGGATTTTTGATCTGTGATCGTGACTCCACTATCCTTCCATCTGTATAGAAGCATTGCCTTGATTCGGGAATTACTGAAAGAGAGATGGCTGGACTATGTGTTGAATTTTTGCGCTTGGATGATGCTTTGCCGACGTTACAGTCCGTAGTTGAAAGATTCAGTGAACATAAGACGATCGACGACATTTCGGAGGAAGATGACTCTGTCGAAAGTCTTTTGGTTTATCCAGCAGAACATTGGCCCTCTCACCTTCGAGATACCGACATGCCAAAAAGTGAATCACCTATGGCCGTGTTCAAACCATAAATGCGGCGGCGGTCGAGTGAGCGTCGAGATGACCTCGGGGTCCCTTTACCTCGTCTTGATCTACTAGAAGACTCTTTACTGGGCCTATAGCCCTGATATTGCTTCTAAATAAGCTGAATGATGGCTAGTTTGGCCCAAATTGCGCTTTCTCTGTCTACCTAGGAGAGCCTCTGGGTCACCAGGGACTGAATGTCCGGAGGGATTCCCTTCAATTCCTAAGGAATTGACATTCAGTGAAATTGAAATACTTTGTGGCCACTAATCTGGAAGACCTCTGCCTGTCATAACTTAGTCTTATTTCTGTTGAAATTTTGCTTCTTCGTTTGTTTCATTAATACACACATGGAGGAGTTCAGCCTCCAGAGCTCGTCCTATTCTTTGTGATTGACCTCAAATCTCGCAGCACTGTCTCAGATACGTCGTACAGAGTACTCACCACACGGGTTGCAATATACTACCAATCGACAGCTTGCAGGCAATGTGGCGCTACTAATGAGCAAATTCGAGAAATTATACTGCAGTGATGCAAAGTAACCCCCAGCGTAAATACACGGTGTCCATATCACTGAATGCCTCATTGAGGGATGGCAACATGGCAGCGAATCCCGCCGCATGAAATCCGCTGGACACATCGATCACATCCATCAAAGACGATGGAGAAGCTATGTGGAGATGCTGCTCGCTCATGTGTCACTTATTGCCTTTCGAAACGGAACGTTGAATGAGCGAAAAATCCCTGTACTCACAGTGTGAGATGGAGGAAGATGGCCAGGCTTGCCGCTTTTTCAGGATGAATCTGTGTTTCTTTCCAGCCCTGCCTGTTTCAGTACTACTTGAGCTTCCCGTCTAGAAATGAGATTAGTTTCTCTAGCCCTTCATCATGCGTATCGTTGAATCGATATAGTGTAAAGGCGTGAAAGCCCTGATCCACCACATCCACCTGCACCTCATTCCCTGCTTGTTGCCACTTTATCGCCATGAAGATGCTATCATCTAACAGAGGATCGACCGTGCCGACCAAAAAATGGGCCGGCGGCAAGTTGTGCAGATCAGCATATAACGGGGAAACATCTGCCTGTTTTCTGCGGGCGATGGGCATATTTTCAAACGCTGTCTCAGTGAAGATCTCAGTATGCTCTTTGCTGAGGAAAACCGAGCGCTGATGAGACAACACAGACGGAGTAAAGGAAAGGTCGAAAATCCCATAACCCGAACATATGGCGGCTATGCGAGACCTGATATCAACGGCGTGCTGGTCGCGGAGGGTTAATGCCACGGAAACTGATAGCCAGCCGCCGGCAGACTCTCCACCCAGAACTTTCAGCGATGATCCGAGAGCGCGAGTGCCTTCGTCTGAAAGGGCGTACAGAGCAGCATCAACGCAGTCATGGAGTGCTGCAGGGTGCGGATGCTCGGGGGCCAGGCGATACTCCACAGAAACCATCGTCAATCCGAGAGCCTCACTTAGTTCTGTCAGGTATGGATCGTAGCTGGCATTAGACCCGATAACGAAACCTCCTATGTAGATACAGTCAGTCAAAAGTTGCTCGTTGAAGACACCCTTTTGCAGTAAAGCTTTTATTTCATACTCTCGTATCAACACTACCATCGGACGCGTTTCCACTTACCGGCATGGAAATGAAGCCACACTCCCTTCGTGATTTTGGTCTCTGGTTTAATGATCCGAAGTTCGATTTGATGGCCATCTCGTCCGGCAATCTTTATCAAGGTGGCCTTTTCATTTAGCACAGGCTTCGGAAACCCGTGAGTACCCTCTCGTCTTGCTTTTCGATACTCCTCAGGCTGAGGATATTTGTACCATGGAGTGCTAGAATTCTGTTCTTGCTCAATTTTGTCGAGGACTTCTTGACGAGCCCTGCGGACGACATCAGAGATTGGACGAGGAAGGATGTTCAGCTGAGACTCCATAGCGACCACGGTTGATGCTTTTGCCTACGTTGCTCTGATTTTCTCTGATTCTCATGAGATTAGGCAAAAGGAGCAGGGCCGTGTCGCACTTGACTAGTTTGCCTACTGCCCTCTTGTCGGAAAATTCCGACCGCAAGTCCTCGGTATTAAGCATTCGGGAGCGATTGCGTTCAACAATGACATCTTCACAATTCGATAAGAATTCTGACTTTCACGCGTGAGGATCATTCTGTGGCTGCAAAGGAGATAAGTATTTCCACGGTGAAAGACTTTTGTGTTTTCCTTTAGCCTCTCGAGCTTTAGAATGTTTCTATTTTTCTTAGAAGGGCTAGACCTTAGGAAAGTCTACCACTTGCTGATCGGCATCATCTATGCTTGTCATGAAGCTCGGTGATACACTACTTGTGGCATTCTGGGTCGGTCCTCCCACTGGGCTTTAAATTCGTGCAGTGCAAACGGAGAATTCTGTACCATGCACCCTTATTTGGCGTTGGCAAAGTATCTACCATCGGACTCAAGCAGGTTCATGTTCTTCAACTCCACTCAAAACCTCTTGTGTAGGAAACAGCGAGTTTGGTACCGGAGAATCTAATGCATGCCTGAACATCTGTGCTTTTCTTTTTAGCATCACGCTTCACTGATAGCCTCCATCTATATTGATAGTCTATACATTTGTTAGTCAGAAATTTCTCTGCAGGAGACGTGGGAGAAACGGCCTTGCTTACACTTCCTGTAATATAACTAGAAACTTCGCTGAGCAGGAAGACTATAAGCTTCGAAACTTCTTCAGGCTGGCCAACCCGTTTTAAAGCCGTCTTCGCCGCCAGCACTTGATTTATTTTGTCCATGTCTCCAATTGCATGGAGAAGGGGTGTATTGATGAACCCGCTGTGACTGATGTCAGATCTCTATCCTCACGTAAAGTCAATGGGACACTTACGGAGCAACAG